AGTGTAATCTTGTAGGAAAAGAAGAACACGTATATGTAATGATAACACGAGATCATAATACAGACCTCTGCATTTTATGACCTGACCAGCTGTGCTGGACATCTCTTCCACTATTGTTCTTCAGTCTTTTAGCTTCTGCAACTAAAGAGGGAGAGAACAGCATCGAGTAACGCAGCTATATATAGCCAACAAAAGAGAGAGAGTGTGTGTGTGTGTGAAGTGCTAAATTTGCTTCTCTAAGAAGGGAAATTTGTACAGGTAAATAAGATGTGGAGGATGGAGAAGAAAATTGGATTAAACGTGTCCATCATCATCCTCTCACAATCACAAGATGAACAGCTAACATACGAATTGAGTATAAGATTCTTAGCTTAACATTGATAGAAGATAAGATTCTCCTAATTTGTTTAAATAGGAGAGGAACATGTTAATGTATTGAAGCATTTTTCATTTCTTCGATAAAGCTTCTTCACTTCTTCAATAAAACTTTTCAGTAATTATTTTTATCTTCTATTATTTTCATCATGGTATCAGAGCAGTGAGAAAAACGAAGTTTCGCTCTTGCCTTTGATCAGCGACTAACGTCGTTGAGAAAAGCGAAGCTTCGCTCTTGTCTTCGGCCAGCGACCAACGTCACTGCAGCCACATTCCTAAGAGTCTCCACGGCCAATTCTCATCTTCCTCACCGCGGTAGCCTTTGTTGCCTTCGCTGATCTGCCAACAGTCAGTGAACTTAAGGAGAACGAAGGACGGACCTAAGGAGAACGAAAGGAACGCCTGTGCCCTCACAGTAACAGCAATTGCAACAGTAGCAACGATCTGCTCTTGCCCTATTCACGAAGTCTCTCGCTTGTAAACCATTCTTTACATCGATCCAAGATTGATATCCTTATCAGGAGCACTATCTTACGGGGGCATGATAGAAGATAATATTTCCCCAACTATATGAGAAAATCTCTCTATTCTGTTGAGAAAAATCATTTATTCTGTTGAGGGAAATCCTTTCTCTTAATTTATATAAATAGGAGAGGGAACATGTTAATGTATTGAAGCATTTTTCATTTTTTCGATAACACTTCTTCACTTTTTTAATAAAGATTTTTTTGTTCTTATCTTCTATTCTTTTCATTAAACATAGTATATGTGTTGAAAACTGTTTACAACGTACATAAACGGATAAACTGATCGGATTGGAAGAATCTTGAATTAGATTCTTAGTCGATTCGGTTTACTAATTAGACTGTTTCAGTTCCCAAAAAGCTTGAAATCTATTTGCTACCAAAGATATTTATATTTGTCAGAACATTCAAAATATTCTTTTGGATGTCTAAATCCACACATCAATTTCCTTCATAATTGTTGTCTTTTGTGCTCTCTTTTTGCATCTTTGTCAACAGAAGAGTTTGATTCTTCTACCGAAAGGATAACTCAAACCGAGTCATGAACTGACAGCAGTGTGGCAATTGATGCACTGATTCGTTGGATCTCACAACAGAGAACAGTGCATGAGCTGCGAGTTTTCTTCATCCGGTAAGAGATTGATTGTGATGTGATGCGTGAAGAATCGGATTATCGCATGCGTAGCTCCACTAGAGCCAGAAGAGGTATCAATCCCACCTTCAGCTACTTTTGTCGGATCATCATCATCATCATCTTAATCTTCTCATTCATGAGTGTGATGCTCCTCTTCGATGAGTAGTTTCATTTCATCACCTGCAGATTTTTCGATGTTGAAGTCATAGATTTCTTGCGATGAAGGATAGTGTGAGGTAGGAGAATGAAAGAGACATCCTCTTTATGATTGGAGTCTATAATCGCTTATGTGTTTGGTGCATCCATAAAAGATACGATTCTTCATCATTGCAATAGTAGACTTATTGTTACAGTAGATTTTTGTTTGTTCATCTTATATTTTTTAAAAAATCTACTAAAATTCTTTGAAATCAAATTATTTGGCATGTCATATGTCATAATATATTTTTTTTAAGAGTTTTTACTTTTTTATTGTCTATGAAATCAGTCCTAAATCAAGACCGAACTAAAATCCTAAAAAAAAATTTGTATCATTTATATAACCAACCCAATCACTATTAATATAGGAATACAACTTAAAATTTTTTACTTGTTCATAACGAATATCTTAATTGAGACTTTATTTGATATATCTATGAACTCACTTAATTGCTCTAAATTGATGTTTGCTAGGGCTATACATAAATTTGATAAGCAAACTAACTACAAATATAATATCCAACCATGCGTGAGATAAATTAGCCCTTCAATTAAACTTCTATACTGTTTTTCATGTATTTTTTAAACTTTATCATATAACATAAATTTATTATTTATATTTATTGGAGTATTCACTAACTTGCAAGTTGTTATACGAAACATTTTTAATAAATCTTTACTATATTTTTCTTAACATAATTTTTTATTTATATCTTGAACAATTTTTATTCCCATAAAATAATATAAAAGTCATAAATCAGTCATTTCAAATTTAGACATCATATCTTTCTTAAATTTAATAAATATACCTAATGAATTTTTAGTATAAATCATATTATCCATGTACAAATGGATAATAAGAATTTTCATACCTTGGCTTATATATATAAAGTTGGCTTACTTAAAATTTTAAGAAAATATGTGAAAATATGTGAAATTTGTTTATTTCAAGTCATATAATACTTTATCTAATTTATACGCTTTATCTTTTAGTCTTTTGATCTCGATGTTTATTTCAAGTCATATAATGCTTTATCTAATTTATACACTTTATCTTTTAGTCCTTTAATTTCAAATCCTTCATACTGCTTTACATAAATATTTTCTTACAATTTTCATTCAAGAAGACTGGTTTAACATTGAATTGATAAACTTGTTAGTTTTTTAGGCTACCAATGCTAATACTATTCTAATTATATCAGTTCTAGCAATTAAAAAAAATTTCTAATTTTGTTAACAATAAAGAAATTTTTTTAAACAAATGTAGCACATATTTATATTAGATTAATTATAACCTAACAATTCTTCTCATCCTCATCTATATATCTTAATTTAAATTCTTATCTTTTATTACATCTAATCTAACTACTTAAATTAATCATATAAGATAAAGGTCTCTCTCACTCTCGTTCTCTCATCAATCTTGAGCTGCAACTACTGACCATTAAGTTGTTAGATTTGGTGAATTCATACGCAATTTATCTGCAAAATCCAACTATTTTGTTGGCCCATTCAAACAGCATACATAAATAATATCACACAAACTCTCTTCCACTTTACCAAAAATTTCCGAGGCATGTGTTTGGGTAGGTGATGACCAAAAGCATCATCTCGGACGAGTTTCTTGGAGAAGTGGTAAGCAGCATGTCCACATCCCCACTGATTTCTCGGAGAAGGGATTAAAGTAGAAGAAAGATCACACCATTGCACAACATCAACGACGACAATAATTATCAGCTGTTTATTATCCTCAAAGTTGGCCACTTGCTACGAGTACTTGGCCCGAGACGAGATTAACACAGGAGTTACTACGCCTATGAAGAGAGGAAAGATGAAGGTGGAAGATCTAATAAATCAAATTGGTTGAGTCCTCACAAGCTTTCATTCCTACAGCAAAAGATGTTTAAGACAGTACATCTCTTGAGATGAAGAATGGTGATAGATAGGAGGGTGAAAGAGATGAAGGATGGTTTTGCCACTGGTGTCGTCAAAATGGTTGTCATCGTCCACCACCAATCAAAGTTGACTCGGGAGACGACGATACACCACACCAACTCCTTGGCGGCAGACCAAACAAAGCAAGCATGACTCAGGCAGTGACCTCATTTGCTGGGGAGGGAACAGACCAATACATAGGTGGCAGGATGGAGAGACATCAGCTAAACCAAAGAAGGGATAAGAGATGGACTCCAGTGGTGGTGAGGGGGACGGGTATCGTTCTCACATCCATGGAGACCACGAGAGGAACACGGAGTGGAGGTTCGGCTCTCCTCCCAACTACGATCTCGTGAACAAGCTCTTCGAAGAAGGCCGAACGAAGGTGATGACCTCTCTCCCAGCAGAAGATGATGCGATGATGTTAACTCTCTCTCTCTTTCTCTCACGCACAGGTATGGGAAGCAGGGTCCTTGGAAGAGAGAGTGCAGCACATGGTGAAGACATGGGAGATGGAGATGTTCCACAAGAGACGATTCCAAGACTACAAAACCGTGAATCCGGATAACTACACCTTCAGCCTCAATGGTGAACACGAACGCCATCTCACTAAATGCATCTCATCGTTCGGATTCTACTTCTCGAAGCATGTATAACATGGTTTGGTGATCTGATGACGAAAGGGCGAAGACCGATAACGCTAGAACAGAAGCGGAAGTTGGGAGGCGGCTACAACTCGCTGCTGCAGACGTCGCTGCCGCAAGGCCTGCGCGTGTACGACCCGTCGAGGGAGACGATGGAGTCATCTCACGCCGCCTTCACCACGGCGTTTCCTCGTGGGTTCGCTTTGGAGGTCGTCCATGTCTACAGCGGCCCGCCGGGGATCGTGTACAAGTTCCGGCACTGGGGCTTCATGGAGGGGCCTTTCCAAGGCCATGCACCGACGGGGGAGATGGTGGAGCTCTATGGGATGGCAATATTTCAAGTACTGATCGATCACTTCACCTCTACGTATAAGCTTCATCGTCTGAGACAGAGATTGTTGTGTTGTTAGGTCGATGCGGACATGAAGATCGAGAAGGTGGAGTTCTTCTACGATCGTGGTGAGCTACTCGGTGGCCTCCTCAAGGGTGCGAAGATGGAGGACGCAGGACTGCCAGATTCAAGCTGCCCATTCTTGAAGAATGTTTAGAATGCACACGGATAAGTATCAGATATTATGATGCTGTCAGTCATGCTATAAGAATATAATGTCTGTATAAGAATACAGAGATCATGCTATAAGAATATAATGAGAATAAAAACAAGAAATCCTCACTTGCGACAAAAATGAATCATCAGCAGCACAGAGTATACAATTAAGCTTCTCGACAACAGCTCAAACAGTGGTGAAAAAGAAGTTCTGGTTCAAGAAAAAGATGCATTACACAGTGAAATTTCATAGTCTCTGATAAGTGCCAATTTTAGACTAACCTATGTAGGTAGAATTGCCTTGGAGATATGCCAGCTTGATCAAGCACGAATCAACAGGCAATGGAACTACAGGCAGCATCGAGGCCTGAATATAATACAGACATCGAGATCACTATGTTATGTCTTTCCGCAAATATAACCAACGGAAACATGGATTTCAAGAGCTTTCCTGCCACTGTCATCAGAGGAAACATGAATCTAAAGATAAGCCTCTTACCGACCTTTGTTTGTGACCAGCCATTCCATCAGACGTACTTGCCTCTGTATTTTGGTTTTGAATCTCTGTCAAACTTGTTGGACTTGGCACCCAAAGCTTCCTGAGAGTCTGCCGGACTGAATACTGCAGAGTGAAGATTACCATCTTCTAACCATTTGAGATGGTTCTCCTTGAACTCCAAGTGCCTTTTCTGAGCCGATTCTCTGATTTCTTCAGTATAAGCACCTGTCTTCACCATGGTCAACAAATAACGGCTATACCGTAGGCTAAGTATCTGCTCACAGGACGCGATCAAGGTGAAGCAAGGATGCTCAGGAAACTGTGCATTAGTCAAACCATCCTCCCTTACTACAGGGAAGAAGAACACGAGCCTCCCACCCATCACCAGCAACTTTGCAGAAAGGTCGAGAAGATCGTGCATGCACTCTGCTAAACTGTACGGAGCAGTTGATGGTATGTGGTCAAGCCTTTTCTCCTCTGGAACAGTGTACGGACCAACTGTGCCTCTCAGCAATTTCCGGCCACCAGATTTCCGACCTCCAGCACGGACTCCATAAGGTGGGTCACATATTATAGCATCGAATACCTTAAAAAGAGATAAGATACTTGAATTAGTATACTGTCATTTATCGATATTATAGATGAAACATCAAACTGAAAGTTCTATTAATCAGGAAACATGATGGACGGTTCAGTGCCTGAAGGCCCTGAACATCGGAATAAGCAACACCCAAGTACATCTCACCAGCTGAGCAGTAAATCACACTGAATTGTTGCAACGATATTAGTCGATGGTTCACGATATCAATTGTACTAAGAACTCCGAAATATTAGGAGCCATATTTTTTCTGAAGTTAATAGACTTGAGAAATTGAACATGCAGTATTTTCTAAGTTGTGTACATGGTTAAACATACTGATTGGGAAGTCTTGGACAATAATGATGATATCTCTAACATCTGGAATACTTGAGGCACAAAAGTTGCACCTAAACTACTATGATCTTGTTTCAACATTAGTAAAAATATTGGGATATAATTATGACACTGTACCTCAAAAATTTTCATGAAAACAAGATGCCTATGCATGTACATAGTTGACCTAGAATCCTATTACCTCAAATCGATTACGGGCTGTCCAAATCAAAGATTAACTATGTTAAGCATGATCTATGATGCTAGAAACATTTAGAAATTTGTGTGTCCTTCAAACCAACACAAAACTAATGTGTAAGAAGAATCACAGATGAAAAGCTGATCTAAGACTAATTTTATTAGCAATGAAGATAAAGTGTACCTTGATTCAAATATTGTTCAACGATGCATAAAAAATTTCAACTAAATTTGATACTTTTATGATATTGATCAAATCAAAATATATTGTCATTAAAACTGCTTGTTTTTTCATCCATTTGATCTGTAAATTATAATATTTTGAAAATTTAAATTTTAGGATCAGGGATTATATTCAATGGAGCTGACTTCAATATAGAGCTTCCATAATTGATTTTGAGGTAATAGGATTGACACCATGAATCTTTCTAATAGGATTTTGACTCCCTCTATACGTAGATGTATACACACAATTAGTGACTAATGCTGCCCCAAAAATAGGAAACAATCATTAGTATTGCAGAATTCTTTTGACATATATATAGCATCTATCCAGAATACAGTTCACATCTATATGTACTTATGTGTTATCTAATAAAAAATAATAGAAAGTAATTTATGTTGTATAAGAAATCCAGGACTAAATTAAACATAGATAATAATAGTTCATTAGTGTTTGAATATAGGTAAAACCAACAGTTGCTATATCAATCAAAATGTCAAGCACAAGAAGCACCTCTTTTAGACCTGAGCGCCAAGGGGGCATGTTATTGTCTGCTCTCAACAAAGAAATTGGCATTGGCAGATTATACTGCAAAGACAATAAAAAAAGATAGACTTAATAATACTAGAAATTTCAAAGCACAAAAAAGACTGTTAATATTATATGCCAGTAGTGAAAAATCAGGAACAGAAGCTTTCTTATACTGAACTTGTGAGGCTTGTGCATTTTGGACAGTGTTGGCAAGCCCATTTCATTTAAGTTACTGATTATAAGGTTGAGTGGGTTTGACAGTTGAGGTGGCAGTCATGGGCTAACAAAGTGGCATTTAAATATCATTTATGTACTATGTAAAGAGTCAAGTCAAATTAACAAAATCTTTTACTTGCTGAGACTTTTGCATTTAGTTTCCAAAATGTTTTGGGCTTTCATAACAAGCTTCTCTATACTTCATGTGCAGAAATTAGCCCATAATTTTATAACCATAATGCATATTGTTCTTAGTGTTCATTAATGCTAACAAAAGATCAAGAAATTTTGCAACGATTGGACTCAAGGAACTAAAGACTCATTTAAGCATCATTTTTTATCTTGCCTTTTAAAGCACAAAAACAAAGACGTAAAAGTAGAACAAGACCAATCTGGTAAATATAATGCCTTTTTTTCAGAAAAGCATTTGCATGGTTTCTGATATTCTTAAAGCTAAATTTTTATGCTTCCAAAAATGTCCATGAGCTGGATAAGCCTTCATCTCAACAGGATAATTATGTATGTAGCTACACTACTTATTTCCTCCAACTCCCATTAAATTTCCCTTTCTCCATCAAATTTGTTACTGTTTTTAAACTATTAGAAGCAATAAGAGAGAAAGTTTTTCTTTTCCGTTGGCTTATAACATTAAAAAAACACCATCTCAATAAAATGCCCTTAAAATCTAATTGAAATTTTGCAGAAGTGAACTAGGAACATGAACTTTCAACAAGAAAATGGTAAGAAAGAGTACACAATGTGCAACCTATTTCTGAAGTTGCTCTATTGTATAAGATGCATTGACAGCTTATGGAAACACCAAAAATTAGGTCAGGGATGACAACAAATTCTAAAAGAAGAGGAAACTGTACAAAATGGTGACATATCTATTAAGTATTGCCAGGGTTTTGAAGAGATCAGAGAGTTAAGAACAAGAAACCATAAATACTCTATCAAGTGAACAACCATATCAAATCTCCTTTTAACAATTATACATAAAAACCCTGCAAAATATAACAAATGTTCAATAAAGTCACCACTTCCTTGAAAACTCCGAGAACATGTATGATGAGAAACCAGATACCTGTTCAAAATTGCTCCAGACATTACAATTTGGTCCACGCCCATCACGTACTACTCTTATATCAATATCTGCACCCTGGAAATGTTTTATCAGAATCTTCAAGAAATATTATGAATTGTAGGATTCTTAATTATGAGCAGAAGTAGGACTTTGTCCAAACAAGACGGACCATTGTCATCGCTCCAAAATGTGCAGCAGCAACCAGTATGCTCCCAGTTCCAACAAATGGGTCATAAACAAGTTTGCCTGGTTGTGCAAGGCCTTGATTAGCCATAAGAAAGGCCATTTCAGCATCCATAGCTGTAGGACCTAGGTACCTGCGACTTTTCAGCTGGTAAGTAGGCAACAGCTTCCTATCTGCAGCTCCAACCTCACGGCCAAAGAAAATTGTCCTCTGAACAACGGGAGGAAGGCCATTGTTTGATCCATAATCATCAGTTTCTATGAGCCAGAACCTGTGCTCAGGTTTCCGAAGATCAACTCGTCCCTGGAAGGTACATGTCAAACTCAGAAGCAGAAGTAATAGAGAATTCAATTTCAACCAACAACAGAAGGGTCATTAGCCTCATTTAATGAAGGAATTCACATTCAACTAGGAAAAACTCTCTATTAGCACAGCGCAATTAAATTTGTAGCCAAATTAGTTTCAAAATCTGGGGTTGTAAACCACCTAAAGGCTTCTTTAAAGTCTCCTTTCTTTTAAATTTTCAACAATTAAAGTGTTTATCTTTTTGTTGGAAGAAGCAGCTCTGTATAGACATTTGAAAGGCCTTTCTCCTTTTTGAACAAGAGAAGCCCTTAGTTAGAATGGCTAATCATAACACTTTTAACCAAATTGACAGGAAGTTATACTATTCCATAATAAAAGCCACAGCACTAACCATGAATGGTATATAGTTGAGTCCTTGAATTCGTTCATTCTGTTCCTGAAAGCTGATCACCTTGCCAAAGCTATCAACAGTGATCCGGAATGTGCTGTCTGATGTCAAGTATGGCAGTTTCCTTTCATCTGGAAATTCTTTTATGGCCTTTTCCAATTCCTCATAGCTACTTCCTTGCCCCCAAAGTTCATAAAAACCCTTGACAAGTATACCTGTACATTTTAATCAAGCAACTTTGTCAGATTCCACATCTATATTTTCTTTGAACAAAATGTTGAACAAATGTTTCAGATTTTCTTCTGATAATTAAGCAAATAATTTCCAATAACATGATACATTTAGGCGGTCTTCGGGTGTTCCAGATAAATAAGTTATTCCCCTAAAGGTCCCACTGAAACATTAGATTTGGTCCAACCAAACTAGATCCAGCTTATATAAGCAAGCCTTTAGAGGTTATTTGCATACAAGCATATGACATCTCCAATATTTACATAGTAACACTCATATTATTCACAGTTGCTTTAGATCATAAAATTCAAATTTACATGTCTTTTGAAAGGGTATCTGAGAACAGTAAAGAGATGTGTTCATAAACTTCACTAATTAATAACGTATGTTTCTTGATGATTTAATCCCTTTCTTCATTCCTTGAGCAATGCACTCCAAAAGTTAAAAACATAAATTTGTCCTAATTTCACTGAGATTAGACCTTACATAATTTCAATTTCAACTCCAATAATTATAAGAAAAAATTAGGGTATGCAGCACAATTGTTAATCCTTCTGTGGTGTCTACCATGTCTTCACTTAAAAAAGGTAAAGATTTGCAGTTTATAAAAGCAATTGGCCAGTGATGCCGATTCCAAGGATCCTCATGCAAATGATTTTTCCTCAGCCTTAACATGGTTAACTTAAAGGCATTATACATAAATTCGAGTCCAAGGACATGCTTAGACATGTCTAAATAAGATCGAATTGCAATCTCTAAATTATAGAAGGATGATCCTTCAACTTATCCCAGCTGGTAAGTTTGATAAACTAATAGATAACCATGATACTTCAGATTATTTATAAAGGGAAGACCAACCAGTCAGTCCTTTCTAACCAATGTTACCTTACCTAGTTCAACCAAGAAGAGAATACAACTCTTCTGATTCTAACTATTTACATAACCATTCACCATCAAGTAAAAGAACAATACTACTGCAGAAAACGATCTAAATGCCAACGCTCTTAAAATGAAATACTAGATAAGCATCCTGAAAACCCATACAAAACCTGGATAATATAAACAATCACTCAAATCCTTAAAACAAATGAAGGATACAGTAGGCTCTTCTTACCTTTGTATATTCAGCAAACTACAACATAATGCTAAGTCGAATGGAAAAAACACACAATGCTATCAACCAAACTACGACAGAGAGAAAAACACATATGCTAAGTCGAGGGAAAAAAAGGATAAGATCATCTAAACCACAAAAAGGTTTGGTGAAAATAGTGACTCGTTTTCTTTCTCATTGTAAGAAAGATTATATGAATTCGACGAGATAAAGATATGGCAATAACAAGAAACAAATATCCCAAAAACCAACAAGCTCGTGCAAAATCAAATTTCGCCTACAACACAGATCAAACAGATGCGTTCATCTCGCCTTTGAGCTCCACCGAAGTCGCATATGTTCATGGATCCATGCACATCGACTATCTAGAACTAAAGCAAACATGATGCAACCCCAGGGTCTGCAAGCATCAAAGCTCCTGCCGAATTCCATAGAGTAGGCCAAATCAATCAAAAACTGCACCATGGACAAGAGAAATGCGAGAGCCTTACTACGGTTGGCGATGTTTCTGGCAATCTCCTCAGACGGAAGGGAGACGAAATGGAAGGGAGAGTCTATGTGGTGGTTCTCCGGGAGCTTCCATTCCAAGGAGCGCGTCGAAGGGGACTCCTCTCCGCCGCCGTCGCCTCCGAAGGCCCCAAAGAGCTCGGCGAGGGATTCGACCTCCGGCCTCCTGTAGTCCAAGAGCCTGTGGTAGAAGACGCAGAGAAACCACATCTCTTTCTACCCTTCTCCTCCCAAGCCTCTTCTCATTCGTTTGGGGGCGCGAGCGGCGGCGAAGACAAGTAACTTCCGTGTGTCAAACCCTTCAAGGAGTCGAGTGGGCGACGGAGAATGAAGGGTGTAGGGTGTCCCGCGATCATCTTTCACGAATCGTAAAGCTAGCTTGATTCCGATGCACCACGCCTGTTCGACCAATGTACCCACGACAGAGATATAACTCTGCCTTTTTAATCCTTCTATTTCCAGTCTTATATATATTGCAGAATTATATGCTCATATTTTACTGGATCATCGTATCCTGAATGCGAACATATTTTTCGTTAAATCAACCATTCAAATACTTGGATGATAATTCCATCTTATGATATATCTTGCTGCAATAGAATGATCATACATTTCTATAAGATCAGCATCAATATCATGTTACTTGTGTAACATGCATTTGATGCTGTTGCATGTACAACGCAAATAGGACTCAATATACCATCATCAACTCAAAAAATAGTTTAAAGAGAGCATTATGATCAAGCTACCACATTTTGCATCATTCACACCATAAGTTCTAACATGATCTTGTTGCCTGACATAATTCAAGAAATCCAAAATTTTGCAACATTAATTTTACATCTTTAACTTGTCATGCTCAGAATCCTGTGTAAATCCATTACGGTCAACAATTCTGGGTTGCTGAGCAACTATTTGTCACAAATTGATAGATCTGGAGGCATAATATGAAGAAAACAAATTGGCAATCACCAGAAGCAAAGATGAGAATTTATTTCAGTGTACACGCTTCATGCTTTGATCGCTTTGAGATCAAGACATCATCCGAAGAAGTTGATAGCAATGCAACCTTGAAACTACTCGATCCAAGGAAGTGACGCTGGATAAGGAACTGGACCACAGTAGCTGAACAAGCCTTTCAATTCAGGGCATCCATTAGGATAAGGGATAAGCCGATGAAATGGGTCTCTCTTTAGTCGCTTTCTGTGAAGTGAACCTAAACATCCGTAAGGATCTTCTTGAAACTGGGCCCTAACATGAGCCTCGCCTTTCTCTGCAGCCTCTTGTGCACCTGGAGCAGCAGGGGTGCCGATATAGAAGAACCTCCCTTCAGGAAATCCAATTGCTAGTCGGTGCAAGTGAGCAAACCTTTCTTTCTTGAAATCATAGCTTACAACCTGAGACCAGCATTCAAAAACAATAGAAATTTTTTTTTAGAAACCATGACAAACACTAAACAACAATATGAGAATAGCAACAACGATTAGAATGAGGAAGAAACAATCTGAGAGTGTTGAAATGATTTGATGAGATGAGAAATTAGTCAATAATGTAGCTTTGCATTATGACTGAAATAGTTCATCCTAGTGGGACTCAAAGAACATTCAAGACACAGGAAGACTCTGGCCAACAGAGAGAATTTACATGTTCAATATTTCAAATGGAAGAAATATTCAGCGCTCAATCTACAAACTTTGTTTGGTAAGACATGTTTGGGAGTAATATTAGGGTTGGCTCTTATGTAAAATGATCAGATTCTGCAATTTCGTAAGACATTTTTTGCAATTAAACTCCATCCTCAAACACACAGCAGAACAAAAATAATGTGCATCTCATAAATGGATGGTATAACTGAAAAAGCATTTTGTCATTTAGTGGTTTTTTTGCGCAAAAAGATATGAAATGGAATGGCATCTCTTTATTCATGCTCTTTCAAGAAAATAAATTTTCTAACCTTGAGCTTAGAAAGGTACAACAGTGTACTAAAATTTATCTTTAACATTTATTATAAATAAAACTTCAATGTTTCAGAATATTCTACTTGCATGATATTGACAACTTTTGTCTGTGAACTGGAGTGTGAGATCGTAGGACTCATAAATGCAGCATCCAAATGAATAAAATTAGTGACAATGAATTTGAACTAGTAAGAAACACAAACCAAAAGCCTAAATAGAGAAATAGAGTCACCAAGTGGAGTGTTATAGATACAACCTAAAGGACAACTATTCTGTTGTACATAAAGAGGCACAAGGTATTATATTGGTTGTATATAATACATTGTGCCTTATTCTGTTGTACATAGGAGGCACAATGTATTATATCGGTTGTATATATTGTGCCTCCTATGAAAATGTGCATGTGACAAAGAAGCATTAGATAGAATAAAAGAAATGACTATTGCAAAAGAGAAAGAAGCTCACAGTAATATTCTGTGGATAAGTGCCTGTGAGTTCACGAAAACGACAAACACTAAAAAGAAGGTTCTCAAAGCTATCTCTAGCATGCTCCTCTGTGAGTGCTCTGCTCCTTACACTATCTTGCCGTCCTGTCAAGGCAAAGATAATAACAGAGCTTCTCAATAAAAAGATCAAGCTTAAAATATATAAAAAAACTAATGACAGACTATTTAAATCTTTGTGGCCTCTTAGATGCAGGTTATCTATGTAAATTCAAATTATACAAAGCACTAGATATTTGAAACCAAAAAAATTAAAAATATACCGATGTCCAACTCTCACACTGTTGCAATTGAAATTTCAATATAGTTGATGGAACAGGAAAGAGACTGCAGAAGCATGAGATGGAAAAAGCAAGGGAGCCAATTTAAGGTATAGCTCCATGTGTGAAAAGAAAACACAGGAGACAATTTCAATGATCATGAAAATAATAGTGGAGCACAAGCTATAAGATAGATACAATAGACGCCAAGCAATACCAGAGATAAATAAGATAACTAACTTCTGAGTATAACATCTGACAAATATACATCAACAGTCCTCTAACTATTAAGCAATTACTTTAGTATCAATTGTAAGGTCCGACAACCATAATTTCCAACTAATAAGTCTAATTCCTATGAGCAGTGAAGAATACTAGGCATGCTACATTGGAGTTGGAAAGGTCCAGATGCCATAGCAATTATCTTCATCAAGAAAACATAACTGCAGAACATAGTCACATGATGAACATAGTACATGCTGCTAAAATGCTAGTAATAATGGTAAAACCAGGTTAAAATAGATCCCAAGTCACAGCTTAGAAGGATATGCAAGACACTAAGACCGGAAAGCTCAGTGGTTATGCAGCTAGTACCCCACTCCCAACACCAAATTGTGGTCAGAAAAGCTTGGGGAAGGATCAACAGGTCCTTCAATGTCAACTGGCAATAACTGGCCTCCCAAGAAGACAGAGGGATTGTAACCCAGCAAAAACATTTTGTTGCCGTCAGAGTATGCCATTCAGCCAGATCAAAGAGGATGGTAGTGAAATTGAAATTTTCTCCAATAACATCATAAGGAGCTTGGTGAATGATGGCTTTGCAATGAAAAGTAAAACTATATAAGGTCCAAGTCTTTTTTCCTTTCTTTTTACAGCAAATACATTCCCAGCAAAAAATGGCAAGGCCAGACAGATTACTTCCTTGAATATCATCTGTACTATCAGATCACATGCATATTAAAAGTTGAAACATCATCCTTGTACAATGTATTATACAAATCAGTCCTGACAAATAAAATTAATACCTAAAATTTGAATCCTTTACAGCTTAGATCTAGTTTCTACATTATGTTTCATTTTCAACCATCAACCATGCACATGCATTAACGAGAGGATAAAATTGAAGACTGACATTCTACAGGTGAAAGTAAGTGTGTTGGTAGAAACAGCTTTAAGTTTTTTCAGTAAACTCATAAAGAGTAGGTATTTTGTTATCCGACTGGAATAGTGTTAAACGAAGAGAAAAAAAAAACTAATTTATCAAACACAGCACATGCATTAACATATATAAACACCTAAGACACGACTGAATGTCAACTGTAGCATCAAAGACAAACGAATAACATACCAAACCAGCCTTGGGACTCGGCAACAGACCAATAACTCTGTGCTTCGCTGCGAGGACCAGCATCCTTCCGAGTTTCCCCACCACTAAACAAAAGAAGTGATCTTTTATCCTTAGCTGCACTCTCTACTCCCTCTTTTATATGTGCCAAGAACGTCGCCGCTTGCCCCGGATTCTTCTGATATGGCTCCAGGAACCACGAATCCTCACTGTCGACCTTTCCGCAGGTGGTGCTCGTATAGATCGAATGCCCAGCAACCATCACGAGATTGCGAAGATTCGCCAACGGATACAAGCCCAAACTCAAACTCAGGTCATCGTTCCTCCGGAAACCCATCATTCTGAACCGGGTCTCGTATACCGAAAGCACTACCAGCATGGTCAGACAGACGAACAAAGAGGCAAGAAAGACTGCAACAGGGTGAAGCTTGCATACGTAATGGATCCTGTTCACGACGGAGTTGATCTTCCTGATTGGATCAATCAAAGGCGTACTTTTAGACTTTCGGAAGCTCTTCCGGGCGTTTCCAGATTCCAGATCAAAGTCTACCCTGGGGTAAGCATGAAAGGATTTGGGGCTTCCTGTTCCAAATGATTGGTTGTTCATATTCGCATGTACAAACCAATGGATCAGGCATCAATTAAAGGAAAAATAGGAACTCAACAACCACACACATCATCTGAAATTGCCATAATTAACTGCTAAGATCCCACCAAAATCACGGAAATAGATGAAATTCGGAACCAATTGCAAAATTGGATTTCTGATATGATGCCCTATAAGATCTAGGAAGGAAAACGAAAAGGGAAAAGGAAAGTAAAAGTGGGAAGATCGAGTCCCTCGGATTGAGAAACCTCGGATCTTCCAGCGCCGAATTCCAGAAAAAGGTTGACGGAAATCGGCACCCGAATCGGCTGAGATCAAAGAAGGAACAAGCTTTTACTGATCAATGAGAATTCTTGATCGAATTAAGTGGCAGGAAGGAAGCAATCGAAGCTACCAGATCGGAGTTAAGGGCACCAGATTCGCTCGGTGAGCGTGGAAGAAGGAAATGAACCGTCGATTACTGCAGCGCAAGAGGCGTTCCCACTTCTTGGGGTCATATTTCATATTCATACCCGTTTTAAGCGTTACCCGTCGCCGCACTGCTCTCTGTTATTGGGCCAAGTTATGAGCCCACACAAAAATTTTCAGGGGCCACAAACAGTTCCACTAACAAACGAGGTACACAGGTTGGTAAATTTTGAACGAGTAGAGAACGCTTTCTACAGATTTACGTTGCCATCGCAAATGCCTACCCGCCTTGTGATGGGATCAAGGTGTGGCTCCAAGTATGGGACCCACCTGTGCTGGCTCCCTTGTGACAAGGTGCGTGGAGCGGGTAGAAGACATATATCACGATAGTATTGTTATCGTCACACGCGTACGTACGTAAGTAGAGATGCAGTGCAATTAAGACTACACATTCACGTACACGTTCCACTCGAGATGGCATCGCCGGTGGTGCCGCTGTACGAGCGGGTCGCCTCGGGCCATGCGTAACTGGCCGTTCGCTTCCCCCACCGGCATCTCCACCTCCGCCCACGCCTCCATGTAGCTCGACAGTATCGCGAGCGTGCCGCCACCGTAACCCCCTCAGCGAAGACGAGACTTACGGCCTCTTGCTGCCGTCAGCGGCGAAGAGAGGAGGAGGAGCTCGACTGCTCGTTCTCGTTCCGAGAGAAGAAGATAATATACTCTGATCCCTTCCCAAGAAAGACAGTGTTCTAAATTCTCTCCAACAATATCTTGAAACGCAGCTCAATCAACAATAATATGATAGGAGCTCATCAACAACCGGACAAAGGCATGGGATAGGTAACATATTCTTTTGTTAATTTTATAAATATAAAAATTATAATTTATTTTTTATATAAAAATTTTAATATCAAAAATTGAGACAAATATCAATAGATCGAAGATTAGATATATGTACCTTCGTATGTCATTCAAAATATCTCTATTTGATTTATAAAATATAATCAAATTCTTTCTTCCTATCTTTCATAAGATTATTGTAAACTATAATACATTGTTATCGTATTTATAAGCGAGTGCGGATGATATATGATAAGTATTTAGGAAAGTTTTCCTGATAAGATAATCTCTTAAATATTCATACCATTTTCTTTCTATTGATTGATAATCATAATCAAAATTTAATTAAATTTATAATATATATTTTTTATTAAATAATATTATATAATCTAATAGAATTACTTAAAGAATATTTTGACATGATAATCGATTTTTGTTCACTAAAATTACTTCACACTCATCAATCACTAACTTAAGTGTTGAAGGAATCATGTCATGAATTATACATGTCTTCGTATAAATTAACCATAGAACATCCCCCTGAGTTCAAATTTGTAGATCTATATTGAATTGAACTGGACTAGACAATATTGACATTCATTATATTAATAGTGATGTTATAACGAGGAAGATGTGATAAATAATTTGATAAAGTGTGTTTAGTAAGTTTCTTATTAATATAGGATTATACTAAGGGTCTACATTAAGCCCTTAAATTTTTATAGATAATGGATGAGCTTATTATCACTTAAATGGTAGACCTCCATATAAGTGATAGCATAAGTGAAATTAATTATAAACTTAGTTATGGAGGTAAGTCTTAAAAATTAAAAAATTTAGATTAAGTAGAGCTAAAACTAAATATCTAAAATATAATTTTAATGATTATAAAAATATACAAGAGAATATAATTAAAATAGATTGACTAGAAATCGTTTTTAAATAAAAACTTTAGATATCTTAGGTTAATTATTAAAAAAGATAGATTAATTGATGAAAGTATTATTTATAGAATAAAAATAAGATTGTTAAAATAGTGAGGGGTGTTAAAAGTCTTATGTTCGTTGAATACATTTGAGATTAAAATTTAAGATAATTATGATACTGGTAATGCTTTATGGATTTTTGGGAGTTGTGAAAAATTATATATAACAAGCTTATGTTGTGAATATGAGAAAGTTACGATGGATATATATAGTTATTAGTAAAAATAAAAAAATATTTTTATTCGTAAACAACTATGTATCACTTCAATAGAAGATAAAATAAGAAAAAAAATTATATAAGATGATATGTGCTTTGAATACAATAGTCAGAAAAGATGAAATAATTAATATTAGTGGTATGAAAAAAAATAAAAGAAGACCTACAAAGACTTTATTAAAATTTATAAATAAATATTTATATGTTTTGAACTCAACTAAACATATGACTTTTTATAAATCTTAATAATAATAATAAAAATATAACTATTATTATTATCATATCCTTTACTAAGAGTAAAATATATTTTTTACTTTAATCTAACACAAGAAAAAAAAACACTTCAATTCAATTCCGAATTGAATTGAATTTATTATTATTATTATGACATGATTAATATATCATTTATTATAGAAGTAATTAATTGATTTCAATTCCGAATCAAACCATGTGGTGTTACTTATGCATGTCAAGCACACATTATTATTAGGAATGGTGTTGGAATCAATTAACAAGCGTTATTCAATGAGATAGCGTTATATTGATCATCACAACGATTATAACGGCCGTTATTTCAAACAAGGGTAGGCGTGACCACGCGTACCGAACTCTCCTCAAGATCCGCAAAACAACCAAAGGGTTCGCATCGGGGCTTTCATGACCGTCCGATCGATGAGACTTTTAGGCGCACCGTCCCTTCTGTCCTCCCAATCTCACCTTAAAAGTAATCTCAATTAACACGACTCGCCAATTGGGCCCCACGGTCGACACCACTCGCGGGAAACTATATATATATGCTGCGGCTTTTGACGCGGACGAAAACCCTACTAACAAAACTCCTCCTTTTGTGCATTTCAAGATCTCGTTCCTCTCGCGGAATCCGATTCAAACCCCACCAGGTCTTCTCATCAAAGACGCAAGCTTTGGGCGATCCGAACCCTAAGGAACGACAATGCACGGCGGGCAGATGCTGCTTGAGGAGCACGTGCGGCTCGCCTCGGTGCTTGCACCCTCCAAGACCGTGAGATGATCTCTACCCAGTTCTCTTATTGAATTTGATTCGTGTTTTTGTTGTGCGTTCATCAGTTTATGATAGGTTTTTGGTTGCCTTTTATTTGCTTGACTAAAATCTTGTGTAATCTAGCGATTTTCTTGACGTGTTCTTTTGATCCTGACTCTTGCTCTACGTATCTCTCTGTTATTCCATGCTTTTATCCTGTTTTGTTTGTGCGGAAACTGTATGGAAAAGAAAGATGAAACCGTTCAATTAATAGAAGCTGAGGGAGACCAATAATTCGGTCAATTTCTATATTAAGGGTGTATCGATTTGGTGTACGGTATTCCATCCCCGTTGACAATTGACCCTGCTCCAAATGATCCCCTTTTTCTGGTTTATTACCAACGCTTCCTTTCTTTCCAAGAAAATAGAACTTTGTTTTCAATAAAATAGAATATTTAATAATAAGCAATAAAGGAAGTCTCCGTAATGGGTCTCCTAGAAATGAAAGCACATTGTATACCATGAATCGTATGAGTTTCAAGGGCTTCCACTGCTTAGAAAATCTTTTGTGATCAAAGAACTAAAATAAGAAGGAAAGAAAAATAAACAATTGCAGCTGGTAGAAGAATTAAATCATAGATGCTTTTTTTGTCCAAATATGTGATAGAGTGTTGCACGGTTATTAATTCGAGATAATTCAAAACAGCTCAACAGGGAATCACATCCAATATGTTCAATTTGCCTAGTGCTTTGACGCCAAACATTCATGCAAACTCACTATAACATCTAATGCCAATATAAACTGTTTTGAAGGGTTTGCTGGTATCATATCGAATCTGTTGCAAGATCATTGAGGTATCTGGGCCATAATTTAATGATTCTTTTGGAAGACAAAGGTGTTGAGTTTAGAACGATCAAATGATCATACAGGATTGGTGCTTCATGGGTATGCATTATCACAAACTGAAAGCAGATATGTATACCTTATTCTTTATCACCTGACTTTGATCTGCAAAGTTTTTGTATGTTTGGAAAATTCCCAATCTGCTAGATATCAGTTGGAAGCTCCAATCTTCTATGTTATCATAGTCTCCATATTTGCCAGTAAGATATGATGGACATTCTTTGATCAGCTCTTCCTCCATGAAAGATATCAAAGATATTTGTCATCTCTTTGTTCCTTCATGAATGATGTTTGTCATCTCTTTGTGTTTCAGATGTCAAAGATATGTGTTCATCCCTTGCATCATTGAACGTCACTCCCACATGAAAACTAATGCCTACTGTTACATTTGCTCTTCTCCAAATATTGACTCTGTTATTGCATGGTACATGCATATTTTTAAAGAATGTGTTCTCAGTTCTCTGTTACTGAATGTGTAAGCCTTACACAAACATGCCATACAAGGAAATCTGACCTTACCGAAGAGTAACTATCTCTATTCTAGAATAATCTTCGACAACATCAATAAATGATTCTTAAATAGCCTTCTGACCGCATTATTGATGCTGCCCCTTTGATGTTGCACCCTTAATGACCTTTGCTGAAAACTTGAGGTTTTCTGGATCCATGTGTATGGTCTGTACAAGAATCTTTGCATCAAAAGGAGAGGAAACAAACACTATGAGTGGAGATTTCGAGGATTATTCTTATGTTGGACAAACACAAATTATAGTCCCATATGTTTTATATTGCTGAGTCTAAGAGCTTTTTACACTGGAAATATCGATAGATGGCATGATATATATGTAGAAATTGTAGTTTCAACTTTCAACCATCAATTTGAATGTTGAATAATTTTAATGCAGTTTGCTTACTAGATAGCTACAAGCCTACAAGTATACTAATTATTTGTGAAATTACAGAAATTTTTCCCATCATTGACTAAAATTGTTGGGACACTTGGGTCAAGTTCACGGTCTGTTGAAACAATTGAGGCATGCCTCACGGCAGGAATGTCAGGTTTGTTTTATGTATTCTTATATATCTTGGAAAGAGTTTGTTATGTATGTCCTATTGAAGTTTCTGAAACAGTGTTTTTTTTTTGTCCCTTGGGTCAAGTTGCACGCTTTGATTTTTCTTGGTTAACTGCCGAATACCATCAGGAGACTCTTGATAACTTGAAGAAGGCTGTGAGTAATGTCAAAAAGCCATGTGCTGTAAGTCGATATCTTACAATATCTTTTTACATCTTTGACAAGATTGTTAAATCTGTTAAACAATTTTTGTGATGATCATATATTCAATGCAACAAAACTTATTTAGATAAGAATGCATTAGTGGCACATTTGCAGAGAGCTTTAGTAATTTTACCTACCTGAACAATAATATCTCATCACAAGCGCCACCCTTGGGATTATTGCTTTTGGAATTAACAAATAGTTCTTTAACTTTTATGTGACAAATCTTGCAGATACCTCTAACAAAATCCATAATCTTTTGTCTTAAGAGCATGTGTTTTAGAATCATATGCTTCTTTTGGTAATATGCCTGGGAATTTATTTCTCTAGGAGCTGATGAAGTCAGACTTGAGTAAATAAAACTTGAGATTCCTGTGTATTCATCTAGATAATGCTATTTGGAACCGAAAGATGAATTTAGCATTTGACCTGCATCAAACATATGATTAGTGAACTGGAAAAGTATGGATTTCAGTTATGCACATGCATGGATATATAGTTCAACAAAAGTGATGCTTAAAGCCTTGAACTTAATGCTACCAAGATATTATGACTCGCTCTTGATGAAATGTTCTTAATTATGTATATTTTTTGTTTGCAAATCTTGATCATTGATCCATGCAATTGTAAGATGCAAATTTGCTTGGCATTGTGCTCCGCCAATTAGTTGTGTTAGCTAGAGTACCATCAGGAACATAGGACTGCTATAGATGCAAACTGCACAATGGGCAGGAGACAAAAAAAAAAAATAGTTTCATTTATTTCATGCATATATGTGGTGCATTTAGGTATGGAGCTAATAGTTACTCATAATCATTAAACACTTCTGGTGGCCTGTTATTCTGTAACTTCCACAGATACAGCTGTGTTCTGCCACTAATCTGAGCTCTGGGGCAAATTTTGAAAGATTGCATTTTGCTCAAATGTTTTGACCTGGACTACATGCGTATTATTCTGGCTGCAGATCTTCACTTCATAGTTAATCTGATAATTTCATAAGCTTAATTTCCCACATCTTAAAAAATGCTGATTTTTTTTTTATTTCATTTTTTTCTCCTGTGTCGAATTGTCTAATTGTTTTTGCCATTATCGAGGAGCTTGTGTTTCATTCTTAACCATTTGTGGTGCTGAACTATATTTTAGGTCAAAAGATATGTAGCTTATTGAACATATTATGAGTTATTGCCTCAGGTTATGCTGGATACTGTGGGTCCAGAACTTCAGGTTCACAACACACCTGGAGAACCAATTGAGTTAAAGGCTGGTAATCATGTCATTATAACTCCAGATCTTTCTAGAGTTCCATCAGCTGAGATATTGCCCATAAATTTCACTGATCTTGCCAAGGTGAGTATCATATAATTGATTCTATGGATCTCTAAGTTTATGGTCTTTATTCTTATATTGGATGCAGGTACATATTGTGATTCTTCTTTGTTTGTATGACACACTCGTTATTTTCTTGTTGACATATTTATGTATTTGCAGACAATGAAACTTTATCAAGATGAAAATTTGTGCCACTTAATTAATTTTAGTCTAATTTGAATGTCAATTGAGAGAAGCTAAGCATTGTTGATTAGTCTACAGGAATAAAATATATTAAATTACTTTTTAGCAAGGATCGTAATTTCATATCGTACCGGAGTTTTGAGAGTAACTCGGTATAAGCGACGTCGCCTCCTTTTTCTACCTGCATGGGGAGAAGAAACCGAGGTTTCCTTCTTCCCGTGCAAAAAAGGGCGACGAGGTGATGTCGCCGCCTCGTCGCCTCGTTTCTTCTAACTACGTGGGGAGAAGAAACATCACCTCGACGACGCTCTGTTTCTTCTCCCTGCGACGTCGCCGAGGCTTTTTCTCCTTGCGTGGATGAGGATAAGTCGCCGACAACGCCAAGGCCTTGTCGCCTCAGACGAGGAGGAGGTGACATCTCATCTGCGGCGTCCGACGAGGGAGGGCGGCGACGGATCGGGATCGTCGAGGGAGAGTGGCACCGGATCTCCAGGTTCTTCCTTTTCTTCTCCCTCAGCTCTACCTCAGCTAATACCACCCGGTAGCGGGCGACGACGGTCGAAATCGATCGTCATCAACTGATTTAAGGTGGTAACGGGGTGAAAACAACCCCAATCGATGGTACCGCCTGATAGCGGGTAGTCCATGTCCCGGTCTGCTGGCGGACCGGCACATATCGCCCGCTACCGGCGCCATTATTCGAAATTAAAATCCTTTTTAATTATCTTTAAAGGCCAATCCTTTTAAATGATTTTGGAGCATTTATTTGTCAATTGTATTTTCTTTTTAATTGTGATTCTGATGCTATATTGTTCTATCCAACTAGATTTTTTTTACCATTCAGACTGTTATCCAGTTATGCTTTCTCTAAGTTTACACATTGCCCTTTGCTCAGTTTTTTATCTCTCCTTGCTCAAGCCAATTCTCCTGTTGTTGGAATCAATATCTATCAACTATATATAATATATGACATAGCAACATAGACAATTTTTTTGAAAGAAAATAACAGTACTTCGAACTTCAAAGATAGTTAAGTAGAATAAATTGGTATTGAGAAGTTGAAAAAAACCAGATGATTCTGAATGCATCAAAAACTGGGAAGAATACGAGAAATGCTGATTGATGATGGCAATTAAAGTCAATGCTTCCCCTTATTCGTTCTTGTGCTCCAATTCATTAGTGATAAATGACAACACTACAAACTTACAGTTTTTTCTTAGTGAATAAACAAAAGTGTTTCAAACTACTGAATCTATTTAAACAAACAATTAAACTATGAGTTTTAGGTATTGGGCTTACCTAACATATCCTAGCATTAATCTCTCAAACTGAATCTACAGACAGGTAGGTAAACACTGTTTGATTAGAATGTGATTGTGCCGGACTTTTTTTGTATAATTAATCCAGTTGTTTGAAATTTTTGTACAAGGATTGTATAACAATCAGCTTGTGTAGATATGGGTCAAAACATGCAGTGCCAGAGAGGTTACAGCATGTTTCACACCAAACTAAAGAACTTGCCTGCATGTGGCTAGGTCAATTTCTGGCCTGTGGCGACTGACATAGGGGTGTACCAATAAATATGGAGGACATTCATGCCATGCTAAACAGATATTGGCATACCTCATGCCACAATACACAATCCTTGCTGCCCTTATTTATCATTTTAAGTCGAATGACCTAACTGCAATTTTGTTATGTAAAGCTAGTATGGGCCCAAGAAGCAACAACAACAAAGCCATAAGCACTATTATGGGCCTAAGCACAGATGAAAAATAAGTCGACCCTAAAGTACTTATAGTTTACTATATTTTGTACAGCATAACAACAACCTTATATAAGCTAAACATGAAAAACTAGATCAAGCAAGTTCATTTTTCAGCTAATGATACATGACAAGCAAGCACTCCAGAAGAGCACCATTCTTATATGAGTCCTGTGCTTCTTACAGCTGGTTCATTTCTTGCTTTCTACATAAAAATCCAACTGCTTCTGTTTTTAATGTTCTTTAGTCTTATAGGTCCACTAGGGCTGATGCAGCTCATCTTTAGAAATCAACTTAAGTAAATCTTCACATCTGTAGTTTATAAAGATAAAAGGTGAAAGCAGCTTGCCAAAATATGGTGTTCCATCATTCTACTTCAGTACATCACCTGGCCATGGACAACTTTTTGCTCCCCTATAGCATGACAGTATCACTTCATTTTGAAGGAGACTTATCATAAAATGCTTTAATTCGATTGTTATTAACATGCCTGTGGTGCATGACTTTGCTGATCAGACAAGTGATTTGAATAGTATATACAGCTAGCAATGTATTAACATCTCATCAAATAATTATAAGCTTAAACTCTCTGACAACAAGATGATCCTGTTATGTTATTTGATGAATCAGATGGAATTAATAATGTTAAAAATGTTAATAATTATTTTAATCTCTCCTATATTTTCTAGACTTAAAGTTGTTTTTCCATTACAGAGAATAATTACCTTATTTCTAAAGTAATCTGAGCCAGTTTGTCTATTCCTTAAAAAAAATGTAGCAGTAAATTGGTGTGTCTATGAATCGTTTTGTATTTATTTTCTGATAGAAAACTTTTGTTGAATATATTTAGTGGTTAGTGCCTCCTTTTGTTTTTCGATAATGTCTTTTTGTTCTACATGGAACTGCAGGCAGTTAAAAAGGGTGACACTATTTTTATTGGCCAGTATCTTTTTACAGGAAGTGAGACAACATCTGTATGGCTTGAGGTCATCCTTCTAAACTTTTGAATTTTTGAACTCCTTGTTCTTTTTCTTGTTTTACAAATTTATTTCCAAATACTTTAAAGCATGAACTTCTTTTTCACAGGTTCTGGATACTGCAGGTAAAGACATAAATTGCCTTGTGAAGAACAGTGCTAGACTTTCTGGATCCATTTTCACTATGCATGTATCGCAAGTTGCAATCAGTTTGCCAACTCTGACTAGTAGTGATAAACAAGTAAGGATTACTTGATAGCAAGTACTTAGTTGCTCTGTTTAATATACTTTCCCAACAGTGTCTTGGTTCTAGGTACATTTGTTTTTTAGATACCTTTGAGCCATGAATTGTCAGTGGGAATCTATATCTTATTCCCTGGAATTGCTATATGTTTGGCTAATTCCTTCTCATGTGAGAAAATTAAAAATAACTTCCAGTTCTTGGTTGTAGATTGTTTCATTATTTGGCGTGTTGCATGTAGCTACTTGATAATAGGGGTTGTTACTTATTCCAGTTATTAAATCTTCCTGAGAATGTCATTAATGGATGCATGTATATGATATCAATTAAGATACCTAAATTTAATTTTAACATTAGCATCCATTTATATTAGTTCCTATATGAAATTCGTTTGTAGCCCATGTGACCCAGATAAGGAATGATGTGCAAATTCTGACGAGCTTAGGATCCAAAACTTTTACATGTTGGATTAACGTCTTTGAACTCAGCTTGGTTATATAAGTGCCGGTGGTTCAAAACATTCTTCTAGTCTGCTAGTGTCATTTTGTCAAAATTGGATCAAAATTTAACTTATCCTCTATAACAGGAACTCGTGATATTTCTTAAGTTAATTCCACTATTCCTTTTGAAGTATGATCCAAGCTGGCTCTGATTGCTAATTTACACTCTCCATGCAATAACAAGTAGTATTTTTTTTCATGTAATTTTTTTTGCTTTATGAAGTTGTTTCATGTAAAGCAAACTTATGATTGTTACTATATTAGGTTATCTCAACTTGGGGTTTGCAAAATAATGTTGATCTCATTTCCTTGTCTTACACCCGTCATGCAGAGGATGTGCGCGAGGTGAGTTCATTTACTCCTTTCTTGCTTTTATACCCTTTTATATGCCCATATGTAATTACGAACCATGTTTTTGATTAATCATCATTAAAATATGTTAATTATATAAGCTAATTTGTCTTGATCCATCAACAAGCCTTCAATCCCATTCACGTGTGATCAGGTACATGGATCTTTTCCATCATTAAGCTCTATTCGGGGCAACGTTACTATACAATCTAAGGTCCATAAAGTCACTTATAGTTTTTCTAGGACAGTCTTAGGTTATTATTTTTAGCTTTCTACCACTATTTTGGATTCCCACTCCAATTTGGTGATATAGGTTCCTTTGAACATAAACAAACCAAGTATTTATTTCCTTGAAGGTGTCAGCCAACTTAGCTAGTAAAGACCTTGATAGTATATCGCAATGTCTTAGGCTCGAATCCCGCCTTCACCACTTATACTTTGCGAAAAAAAGTATTTGTTTCCTTATTAAGAAGCACATGTGGTCACACAACACTTTGGGTGCCCATCCCTAATTAAATAGCCTTTCTTTAACTCTGTAAGCAACATCTTTCTATTCAACAGTAGATCTTGGATATCAAATGCTTTTGCTTTTTAATTTCTCTTGTCCATGTATCTTAAATTAAAATTGAATCTTCTTGTCCAACATAAACGTTGTTATCAGCATGCAGTGTACGTTCAATCTGATTGTACCTGGTAAGTTGAGATGTGCTGATATCTAAATATATTCTTTACATACTAAAAAGCTGATGGTCCCTGCAAAAATTGTTTCTTTAAATTTATCTAATCTTGATTATAAAATATAAAGCACTTTGTGATTCAGTCTAGAGAGTTGAGACAAGAGCTTTCACATTTCTGATATCCAACAATTGATTAGACTGCTGTATTTATAAAATTTGGACTTGAACTGAACTTTGAAGGACTAACTGGTCATGGCTCAGAATAATTTTGAAGGTGGAGGACAAAGGTATCTAATTTTAGGAATTTTTTTATTTTGAAAGTAAGCTTTTAGTTGGAAAGACCTTGTTTATGTATAATTTGGAAGTTCATTTATAGTTGTTGGACGACTTGATAAACTTTAGCTTTAACGGTCCTAACAATGACAAGGCATGTGGTATCTAGATTTGTTATGATTTGGCTAGACAAGATGTGCAAAAAATGCTTTACAATAGATGCCAACACAAGTGGCTGGTGGACATCATAAACGCACTGGAGCATGCCTACACAGACTAGTCTAGCGAAGAGTCACACCAATTTAAGTTGGTATCTACCAAGTGCTACAAAAACAGCATACTGCAGAACTAAGATCTCAGTTGTTGTAAGGACAAGTATGCCTATTTGTTATCTGTATTTATTTCTCTCTAGATTCTCTCCCTTATTTTTACTTCTTTCTTTCTATTTTCTACTCAATTTCCTGAAGTATGATATGTAGAAAATCTATCGGTCTTTCTTTTCCAAGATAGACTGGCTGGATATTCTACCATTGAAATACTCCATGTATCTGATATGTAAATTTTCCTCAATGTTTTGTAGAATATTTGCTTGAGATTGCTTAAAATAATAGTAACTACGAACGTCATGAAGTTATTAATTGTTTTCATTAGAATATACAGCATAAATATCTCTTAGAAAACTAAGCAATTTTGTGCACCTATTTTTTTCCTGAGGAAATAAATTAATTTTTTGTTCAGATGAAATATGAAAATTTGAGTAGTCTAGAACTCTTAGATCCATTTGTACCCGTTGCCTCTCCTATCTTCTAAAACAGGGCAAGATTATCATAAGACAGACCGAAACCTGATATAACATGGTAATGCGGTTACTCTTTCAACTTCTTTCTTCCTCTTTTTTGTCTTTAAGCATACAAGCCGAGCTCTAGAATACTAAATGGAGTTGCCTAATCTAAACTAGATGTTCCTGAATACTTACACTTGAAAACTGAATAGCCCATGTAGGAACTACTTGTTATGTGAAAGATCTTTTTTATTTTTTATTTAATTTCATGATTGCTGTTTGACATAGTTTTTCATGAATGTTTTGGTTATAGCTATGGAATTTATGTAGACCTATATATGTCAGCACAAATATGATATAGTATGATGAACATAATATTTTCTTTCCTGAACATGGGAATTAGTATTTTTTGCATTATTTTGATTTTAGTTCCATGCTCATCAGATCTGGCATGAGCTGTTGTAGGTAGAATAGGTCAAACGATTACTACTAATGGTACTAGAAGGTAGGTGGAGTTTGGGACATTTGAAGTTGTTGCATTAATCTGATCTTACATGAGTTTTGATAGATATGCTAATGAACTGCTGCTCCTTGGAGTTCTAGATCCCCTTGTTCTTCTTAGCATCTGTTTTATCCGTTTTGTGCAGCTTAGAGAATTTCTGAAGTCACATAATCTTCTCACCACTCAGATATATGCCAAAATTGAAAATTTTGAGGTAGAGCACTATATTCACTTTTAAATATTCACCTTTGCATCTCTCTCTCTCTCTCTCACACATCTTTAAAATCTGTCCTGCATATGGTTTTTATGTGATTCTAGGGTTTGGATCACTTTGATGAAATTCTCCAGGAAGCAGATGGTATCATTCTTTCTAGAGGAAACTTAGGGATAGACCTTCCCCCGGAAAAGGTAATATTGTTTCCTACAACTAATTATTCTGATATATCAATTTTTTGTTTCATGTTGTGATTCGAATATGATTATGACTAGTGAAGCATGTTAATCATTATTATTCAATAAAAAAGGTACTATGCATAATGTTGTTTTTTACAATTGTCAATTGGCAAGGAGTTTGACATATCTTCTTTAGTCTCTTGCATATTCTGCAAGTTCAGAATTGAGGATGGGATCAACTAAAGACAATACGAGTACTAATAAGATTGGTCAGTTCTGTTCAAGACTTAGGATTAGTTTGAACTCTTATGGTATCTCCATTGAATGTTTTGTAAGGACATCCTTATATCCTTAAGAGGCTAAGAATCAACTCTTATCTTCTTTTTTCCCTTCTATACACCCTTGTCTCTCCATCTATATCAGGGACTAATATTACAAGAACTATGGTCTGATGCAAGTTTTGGAACTGGCTTTAACAAATTGTATTATGAAATTGTCCTCAAGATGTTCACTCTTCTTGTTTTGAGTTGCAAAATACAATATGTATATCATGTCATGTCAGATCTGCAGCAATAACTGCAATCCATTTTCTGATGTTTTCCTTTCGGAGATGCACTAAGTTTACAAACTGCAATGTCCAGGTATTTGTGTTTCAGAAAACTGCAATTCAAAAATGCAATATGGCTGGAAAACCAGCTATAATTACTAGAGTAGTGGACAGTATGGTTGACAATTTGCGTCCAACTCGTGCAGAGGCAACTGATGTAGCAAATGCTGTTCTGGATGGTCTGTTATTTTGGTTCACAATATCAATACTTCTGTTCTATTGTTGACTTTGACAATATGTCAACCCTTCAAAGTGCAGGGACTGATGGTATATCGTTAGGTGCTGAGACTCTTCGAGGCCTCTATCCTGTTGAAACAATCAGGACAGTTGGCCAAATCTGTGCAGAAGTACGTTATGGAGACTGATTTCATTGCTCTAACCATGATTTGCAGTTTGTTTCTAAGAACTGCTATGGTAAAATCTGCTCCACTCTCTTTGCAGGCTGAAAGTGTATATAACCATTCTCATCAATTTAAAAGAATCGTACAATATGTTGGTGAACCAATGTCTCATGAAGAATCTGTCGCATCATCAGCTGTGAGACAACCTTTAGCTGTCTGTTATCATACAGTTGTAAATTTCTCATCCATTGGTTTCTTATTGATCTGTTTTGATGCCATCAAGGTTCGTGCTGCAATCAAAGTCAAAGCTGCTGTAATTGTTGTGTTTACTTCGTCCGGAAGAGCTTCAAGGTACTTTAATCTTTTCTTTCAGGATTCACAAGTGTAAGATTTCAATGCCACATCATGGCAGCAGTCTTACGCTGTTTCAAATGACAAACCGATATTGATGTCCTGAACTGACAGGTTAATAGCAAAGTATAGACCTCCAATGCCTGTTTTGGCTGTTGTCTTCCCACAGGAGGGAATGGGTTCAGTGGAATTGAGTTCTTTTGGCATAACACAGGTACTTAATTCTCTTCCTAGAATGTGCATATTCTTCCAGAATCTATATGATTTGGGGAACTTGATAATTGTTTTGAAATATCTTTAATGTGCCATTGTTTCTTGTTCAGGCCAGGCAGTGTCTAGCAGTAAGAGGTGTTTATCCTATTTTGGCCCCTTCTAGTAAGGTAAGCAATCTAGTGTCTGCAATATAATCAGGCACATTTTATTACAGTTATCCATAGGAAACTATGAAATTTAATCTTGCTCACACGAGGATTTCTATTATTACGTCGGAAATGTGTGTTCTCATGCTCATGAGTGATTCACCTTAGCAGTAAGTAATACCGCTTTCTGATGCAGGGCGACGCGAGCATGTCAAAGGAAGAGTCAGGGTTGAAGCTTGCTCTGGGCTACGGTAGATCTGTGGGAATCCTGAAGCCTTATGATCGCGCAGTCATCTTTGAGAAGATTGGCGACTCCTCAGTCGTTAAGATTATCGAGTTCGAAGATTCTTAACAAAGTATCTATCCATAAATTTTGTATTCCAAAGTTTTTATTTTTATTTTCCAAAAATAAGAATGAGAGAACAGTTGTTTCCGTCCTTGTTTTATTGCCGGCCCGTGAGGGATTTGATCGATTTTACCGACATCATAAACATAGATGGGAACCACCACCGTCGTGGATTCATATGAAACCATTGATTCTGTCAAAATTGCAATTTGCTTGATGCTACATGGTGTTTTGTGTTTTGACACACTTCCATAGCTCTGTGTTGTCCAAGCTTGGTGTCATTTCTTGGCATTGATTCTTTGAACCGAGCTATGCAGATGATGGATAACAGTGAACTCAATTATCGGATGCATTACTCGAATCCGATGTAAGGTGATTGGCGGATACGTTCGCGCAGCAGAGAAATCCGCCCTGCTGCTATGACACGTTCGTGGAAAAGCGTTATACAGTCCCTGTTGAAGAAAGCTCTTTTGAGTACATAGTTTCGAGGGATAAATTTGCCTGAGACCCTTCCCTGGAAATTCTCAGAGGTGACCATAAAAATAATTTAAAATCCCGAAAGAAAAACACCTCCGATTTTGATCGTCGACGTGATTCTTCCAAGATCACAAGGAGAAGATGGGATAATGAGTTTGCCGTCGTAGGTAGAAGAAGATCTACACGACCGTAGGGCTTAACACGAGACGTTGGGTGGTCCCGCCTAAGTGGTGGGACCCACACCCAAAAGAGAGAGAGAGAGACGACCGACCTCACCAAATAGAATAAAATCGACACGCGCGGGATTGGAAACGTGGAACCGCTAAATTATGCAATTTTACACCAACGAGATTAAATTTTATTTTATTTTATTGATCGCTTCGACGAAATCCAAACAAAGACGATTTCATCCTAATCGGAGACACGAATCGAATCGAATCGAATCGGCAATCATCACTCTTCCAATAGTTTTGATTTAAGAACCTTTATATAATTAGTTATAATCAAGTAATAAGCAAGCTGCAAGCTGCAAGATACACCACCACATGCATGCATGATCATACTTTAAGCTGACTAATTATCACAACAGACCAACTTGACACATTTACCACCAAATCGGGCACACAAGTTTCCATTAACGGGTCTAAACCACAGACTTTTTATCTAACAACATACAAGTTGATGATGTAGAACTTCTGTACAACAGAATCGGAAACAACTGTAGATAGATGTAAGACAGCCAGACAAGAATATCGTGCATGCTCCACCAGTAATTATCTCCCCAGAAAACAAGAACAAAAAAGAAAACATAATAAATAATAATAAAAAAGACTAGCTGGGTGGGACACAGAATCATACCAGTGAGAGGGCAATTAATAATACCAAAGACTAGCTGCACTTTGCCCTTCCACCACTTTGTAGTTCTCTATGGAGACAAAATGCCTCCCCTTGGTCCTCGCTCGATGCCCTTCTTTCTAAGCTGCACAGCGTGAGTTGCCTCAGTAACTTCTCCAGGCACGAGTACAGACACCGATCTGGGTCCTTCAAATTGGGGTTTGTGGATAGAACAACTGCATTTACTGCATCAGCAACAAATTCCCGCTGTGGTCCGTCCAGTAGATAACCCACACTTGATTCCACTGGCACTTTATAGGCCAGCAGCCCAGAAACGTCCTATATCATAAAAGGACACAAGAGGGGATGTCAAATATTAAGAATTTGACACGATCGATGTAAACTTTTAAAAATACTATTGCCGAATTTTAGATGCAGCAGGATCTGAAAGAGAAGCATCATGGACAAATATTTTTTTTTCCCGATTTAATTAGGAACAAATGCTATAGGAGACTTGGTTCTTATTTCACTGTTGCGACAGCAACAATGAAATACTTTAGTGACAATGATTAATCCAATAATTTCATTATTGGATTTTAGTGACAGTGAAATACTTCAGTGATGGACAGATGAAAAGGCAAACAGGACAATGTTCAATTTTAGTGACAACGATTAATCCAGTAAGTTCATTATTTCAGTGATAGAAACCTGAGATTATTATTTGCAATACTTGCAACCTTCGTTGACTCTGACTAATCAAAATATTTTGAACTTCTAATGTTTCTATAAATGAAACCATGAAGAAACTTCAACTATGATATAAATTATGCCATGAAGAAACATGCATAGAGGTCAATTGATGGAATGAACTGAAGATAAACCTGGCCATGACGGAACAGACCATGGCATTTATTAATCGAAACTGACTACAAGTAATACCTGAAGGAGGTCAACATAAGACTTTACTGAGAAAAACTTTTGCAGCTCGCTTTGAGCATAAGATACTGCCTCTGCCAGCTGTCCAACCTACGTCATCCAACAATATAGGCATGAAAAAGCAACAGTGTCAATAAAGTACCAACACCATAGCAGGTACCATAACAAGCCAAATTAGTGGGTAAATTAACTTTAAACGCTTATAGCAAAATATTCTCAAACAAAAATGTGATACCCAACTTCCTGGCATTTAAGTGCAGATATTATATAATGTACGAGAACAATTTCATAACAGACAAAACAGAAAAGCTGACTACTGCCAGTGGATCTAGCCAATGAAGAGCATCAATGCAAATATTCTTTGTGACGAAGAACAGTGAAACTAGTGTCTACAATCACCCGTCACAATTTTCACACAAATTTAAAGGATGGGAAAGAAAACAAGGGAAATCATTTTTAAGCTGGGGTTGTCAATTAACATGGTAACAGCAATTACCAAATTGATCAAATTGTATCTAGGGAAATTTCATAATGTGAACCCAGAATACCACAATAGTCCAAGGAACTAATTATCAGTCAATGAACAAAATCCTATCTAAATTACCAACAAGTTCTAATGGCATGAATTTCATTTTTCATCTCATGTAATGAATGTCCGATTCATACGGCATTTGCACCTGTAAGAACAGACTTCAACATATTTAGGTCGATAAGTCCCCAAGTTGATAAGCTTTTAGTGACCATGGCCTATGAAAATGGAAAGAGGAACTCCCACTGACCAACTAATAAAAGCAGCCTATATTAAGATGAAACATTTTGCATGATTGTCTTGATGAACGGAGGCCAGATGCCCCAAACTGGTCTGTTAAGAAAGTGATCTCAATTATTGTGGTAGTTCTATTGTGAAACTGGAATGATGATGTTATAAAGATTTCAGCAGTATGGCCAAAAATAGTTGAAATGCCTCAGCAACAGGCAGCGACCTCTTGTAGGCCTCATGCAAAAGGTCTAGGAACATAGGTGGACATTAGGTGTAAATTTATATAGATACATAAAAATTAAGTTCCAAGAAAGTATATAATATCATAAGCAGTCACCCTCCATTAACCTTTCAATAGAGATCAATCTAAGGGTTGTTTGCATGCAACATTTCTTGGTTAAATTTTCACATAAAAGTCGCTTTAAAGTTGTTTTGATGGAAGACTCTCCTTATAATACTGCATAAACAAAAGTAGTAGAACAAAACAAGAAGTATAAACACTTAAGATACCAAGAAGTATTAACATTTAAGATAGAATGGCATGTGTCGTGGCAAAAAAAACATAATAAAGAAGTTTATCCAGTCAATGTATTCATTTTTATATTTTCAATGTACAAATGCATAAAAAAAAAACTATTTCCTTGTATCTTGTTAGAAAAGAATAATTGCGCTCATTAGAAAACTGAAAATGGAAAACATTGACTTCATAAAATTAAATTTTAGTTAAATCCTATTACTATCTATAAAAATTATTTGTGATAAAGAACCACTTAAGAAAAAGAGCAGACCTTAGGGGCCTGGGTAGCTTCCTATGTCCCATCTAGGCATACATGTTAGTTTCCTAGGATTCATCTAAGTATTCAGATCATTGCTTAACCTGAAACTCGAAAAAGTCACACGCATAGGTGGTGAGTATAGCATAATGGCCTAGGCAGCCTAACCAGAGCATGTGAAAACATTGGTACGGGAATCTATTGGTTAACTTTGTGTTCGTACCAAGCAAAGAAATTTCATCTTTAAGCCAAAAAACGTTGGATAAATTGTACAATTACATCCTCAATGAGATGTATCAGATATCAATTACGGGATAGCTTAAATATGTTGTTAGAATATATCAGTAGTTGAATGCTGAATAGAAAAAGAAAATTCTGCACATGCTCATAACTTGACAAACTATTCTTCAATAAAAAAACAGGAAGTGGACAAAACTATACTGTGAGATATCTCAAAGAATTCTGAATAGAAAAAGAAAATTCCGCACATACTCATAACTTGACAAATTATTCTACAATAAATAAAACAGGAAGCAGACAAAACTATACTGTAAGATATCTCAAACCTTACCCTAATGTATTCAATAAACCTTTGAGAATGAAGTAGAAAACAGACCAACGATTTGTCATCCTGCAAAAAGCAAGTTGGTGGTCATTTTAGTTGCAAGGCTCAAACTAAAGTTTCAGGTTCTAAAGTTTATACTAAATGACAATAAAAGCCAAATCGATAAAATTAGTGAACAATCATGCATCCCAAATATTACAAAAAAATGAACATAAAGTTTGCAAAGCTGAGAATATGGCTCAATTTTTGTCCAAACAACCAGAATTCATCATATCCTTTACAAGGATTTCACTGTCGCATAATAAAATTGTCATAGGGCCTTCAAACCAGTGGGGTACCAATGCCATAGCATACCTATTGTTGTTTCAACTACTGGTTCAGGTCAAGTGTGCCAAACCAATAAAAAGATCAATAATTTAGTATCTATAAATCAAGAGAATAAGTTCATCAGGGCCACACTAAAAAAGAAATATGAGGATAACTTATAGTTAGATATATACAATAACATAATGAGCAGAAAATTACATCATAATTCAATTGAACTAAAACATGATAATCCAATAATTCAGATGTCCAATGATTAAGAAAAATCTACCCATCTAAAAGCAATACAATCCATCTTATTAACCTAAAACCAGATCAAGTGTGCAAGAAGCTAGTCTAGCAGCATGAATATTAAAGTTATAATTTTGTCAAAAACTTTTGACCCCAGTCCGATGTCATGGTATTGGCAGACCTCAATGGTATTACTGGCTAAGTCAAGCACAACAGTGATTTAAAAAGCGCTAGGTGTCAAAAGGCGCCAAGATCCAAAAACGCCCGAGGTGCTAGGCGCTCGTCCGAACGAAGTGAGACGCTAAAATATAAAAATATATAACATAATTAATAAATATAATTATTTAATTTTTTTTAAAAAAATATATGCTATTAAATTAATCTAATAAATACAAATACTATTACTAGTATACAGTTAACAGTATACTATCGAAAGAGAAGAGTGTAAGAGAAGAGTCGGAAGACCAAGGGTGTTGATTGAGAAGAGCGAGAGCGACAGTGGCAGCTGCAGCAGCGAGCAGTAGCAGCGGTAACGGGAGTGGCAAGCGGCGACAGCGGCACCGGCAGCAGCAAGCAGCGGGAGCGGGAGCGAAAGCAACGAGCGGAGACAATGGCAATGGAAGCAGCGAGCAGCGGCAGTAGCAGCAGAAGCGGCGAGCGGAGACAGTGGCAAAGGTAGCAGCGACAACGGAAGCGGGAGTGGTGACAATGGGAGCGGCAGCGGTAGCAGCAAGCAGCGGCAGCGAGAGCGGCGACAGCAGCAGCGACAGCGAGCAATGGCGACAATAGCGTGAACGGCGAGCAGGGTTAGGGTTAGGGAAGTCACACTGATATCAGTGCTTTAGTTGGTTCGATTGAACCAACTAAAGCACCAAAGACCGAACCAGACCTCAAACGCTGGTTCGATCGTAAGGTTTAACCCAGCCATGGTTTATAATATCTTTAATGCATAAGTTGAATTGATTTTAAAAATTAGCCAAAAATTAACTCACGAACAAAATTTGCTAATAAATTCTGTTATCAAGCATCATAAGAGTGTCGTTTGGTCAACAAGATCAATTATTTCTAATAAGTCTGTCTGTATGCTTCCTCGCCTACTTTTTTATCCAGAGGATCTACCACAAGTTCAATTTCTTTGCAACTGTTGGTAGCCTGGTAATATAAACAATGGTTTATGGGGGTATCACATAAAGTTAAGTGCACAATGTTGTTCCACACATATGTTAATCATGCTGCAGAAAGGTACGTAGCATTGTTTCCAATAAAAAACATATTGTACTGATCACCAAGTTCCTCTCAATAATGCTGTTTTTCTTCTTATGGTACCTGAGTATTTTGTAACTTGATGATGTGTCAATAACAAGAATTAAAAAACCAATTGGATCAGTCAGTACCAACTAATATTTACTGATCTGATAAGAAAACAGGATACAGACCAGATGATTTCACCTAGTCCAGTCCAGATTCTACCACGCAATAACCCTACCGAACCAGACTTGCCACTATCTTTTGATAATTAAAACTGGGGGCACTGGCAGTAAGCCTACCGCCTGATATCCCTATCATTTTTTTATATATTTTTAATGGCTGTCATTCCTTTTCCTCGAGTCTTTCCTGCCACATAACCTAAAACCTTTCCTTTTCTCTTTCTCTCCCTTCCTCCTTCGTTTCTTCCTTCTCCTCCTTGTTGCCTCACCCCTGTAATCCACCACCTCATTGCCCCCATCCCACTGTCACTGCTGCCCTGCAATTAGATCGATGCTTCCTTCCTTTTCTCCAGTACACCTCCTCCTCCTCCTCTACTTCTCTACGTCTTCCTCTACCTCCTCGTCCATCTCCTCCTCCACTCCACCTCATCCTGCCCTACACCTTCTTCTCCTACTCTCCCGTTCTTTTCCTCTCTCTTTGCATGGTATCGACCTATATGCCAGACTACCATGCATCAGCATACCAGTATGTACTGGACCCGTGTTGGTCTGACCAAGATCAATACATGTTTAGTATTGAGATTTAAAACTTTGCTCAACAACAAACTTCATGAACAAATTTATCTTTAATAAGGACAACCTTCCCTTAAACTTGAAATTCACTTTATTCATCATTGAGAATGATCTTCACCATGGAACTGCAAACACAGGCTGAATTCCAATTTCCATGAATGCAGAAAATGAAATTTGGCCAGAGAAAACCTGGGTCATTGATATCATATGTTGTTTAAATAGTCTTTGCTTATTTGTTTATATCTTATTAATCATTCTTCATTTTCCCATTATTCCCATCTCTTTTTCTAGGTAGCTGATCTGAAGAAATACTTGATATACCAGCATAACTTACATAGGCACATCAGTAGAAATTAACACATTTACATCTGGTAAGCAATTGTTCCCAACTATTTCCAGGAGCCTATGTTATAAACACATTTTATATTTATTTGCATTGACGAAAGTTACACCATACAACCTAATGTCCATCACACATTTCTTCCATTTTCTGAATTTTTTTCTTTTGAACTCCCTGTCACTCCTCTCTTTCTTCATGTTTCTCAATGTATGAATGTCACATTCTCAAAGGTGCATTTAAGATCCTTTTTAGACATGCCTAAACAAACATGGTTAATATTACCACCCAAACATTCTGCTAACGAATAAGATGTGGTTCAATTTTTCTAAAAACACCAGATCAAGAAACGAATCTATATTGTAACAATATCAGTATGGACCAATATTTACCAGTTCGACCAAGGACCAGTAATAGATCATATATACCAATTGGTATCTTTTTTATTAGTGTTTTAGTGATACCAAGCGGTACAAGTAGGCACATTACCTAGTTTATAGGTACCATATTGATATGATCGGTCACAGAAAACATTATCGCACCAAAATCTAAATCGTTGGACCAGACAACATCCTGGTAGTCTCCTCTTAAAAACCCTAAACCTGTTCAAACTAGCACATATGGGCTGATATTTACTGGTCCAACTAAAGCACTGGAATGGACCAAACAACTCTAGACGTATTGGAGTTTGCTTGTTAGAAGCTGTTTGATGCTCAATATTCTATTTTCCTTGTTACTCTGCCCTATCAAGTGCATGAATTATCTGCAATACGAACTTCAAGTAGAAATTGCCTTCTGCCTTTTCATATGGTATGAAGGGTCTAAAATTGTACCATGTTCTACAAAGACAATGATAATATAACTAGTAGCATATCAATTGACCATGTCAATGTTGCCCCACCTAGCTGAATGTCTAAGCTCCTCCCCGAATCTTTTATAAACAGAAGGGAATCCACACATTCTAGATTGGAGTAAGAATTTTGTTAAACATTCCCAAGAAACTTAATCTAGCGACTTCAATTAGATATATAAGTTCATAGTTTGTATTAGATAACCCATAGTTCTCTTATGTAATCATTTAAAAGACATTTTTCTTTTGCCCTTTGCAGTGCCATCCACAGTACAACATTTAACAGAAAGAATGAAAAGCAGGAAAAAAAAAAAAACTAAGAAGCAGCTCCTAAATACATATGGTGTTAAAGATGTTCAAAACATACCTGCAAAACCTGAGGATACCATTCCCGAAGCTTTTGAAATGCAGAATCAATATTACCATTCTTGATAAGCTTCATTATTGAAAAGTAATTGGTTAATAAATGATAGATATTTCACTGCTCAAAGAAAGTAGGAGATAATCAATTGATTCAACTCGTCTTTTTGGGAAGTATTGTAATGCAATGAACTTACAAAAAGATAGACTTAGTTCACATGTCCTGGTTATGAATGCCAAAAGTAATCAGTACATCTGAGGAAATAGTTCAGAATAGAAATTTCTTTAAAAGATCAAATTTCCAGATTGGAAATATTTTTTGATGACATGTAATAGATAAAGATCAAATTTCATTATATCACTTAGCCTCAAAATAGAATTTTAGACAAGGCTATGCATAGAAATATATCATACTAAGCATTATGCCCCCCTAAACAAACACATAATGACCACTTTCCCTTGATCAACAAAGTCTCCTTGTAATGTCATGTTATAGTAAGCCAACCTATGTATTTTATAAAGCTTGTGATGTATTGAACCCGAAAATGATAAAGATGTTGAATGAAACAGTGAATAAACTTGAAGATGTTCCCTAAAGGTAGCATCCTGATTTGGCTATATATAGACCTAGGAGTTTCCATTCTGATGTTGTTTTGACATACAAGTCTTGTCCTTTCTCCTAAATAGATTTGAACATGTTTGCAATATGATATGTGATAGTAACCAGTGTGTGATTTTGCATAAATCTCACTGCAATCAAGCATGAATCATAAAATGGAGAATATGCCAGAATACATGCTTCATGATAGTACATTAAACAACCCTTAAAAATGATTTTTAGTACAGCAACCAGTAAGAATATAAATTTATAATCTAAAATATCCTCCTAGAATGTAGCTTCCTACCTGACGCAAAATATTTCTGTGATCAAGTGCATACATGTCTCCTTGATCATCAAAGCCATTTTCCTGTGCCATAGACTCTGAAGGATAAGTATTTTCACTTGCAAGGTCAAATGACTTCAATGTGTCTTGATAGCCATAGTGTAGCAAATAAGAACGAACAATCCTGCGGAAACAAAATCTTCAATTTCTATCCAATATATTCAGAAAGAAACCAAACAAAAGCAGTATAATTGCAACATATGAAAGATGGTCATAAAGATCTTCAATTTGTTGGAAAATAAATATAATTCAAAAATTAATAATTAAAATATAAAAAAAAATTAAAAAAGCTGAATACTGAAGCTCGGAATCCTGATCAATCAATCCTGCTAACTATTATTCTAAGAATTGGGAATTAAGGATGGAAATAGTTGACAGGAGTCCAGAACCATAGGTTGAAAATCTATTACATATATAAAGGTCCCTGCGTCTGAGTGAATTTTGAAGTTTGAACATCAATTCTTGACAATCTCATTGGAATTCTAAACTCATGGTCAAAATGTTAACTGGGGCAGAATATTGATGTTTGCAATGCATTTAAGAGTGTGATTAAAGAATCTAAATTGCATGTTCATTGAAGTATGTTTACCTCCATGTAAGAACATGTTTCTGATAGGAGGGTGCCTATGTAAATTTTGGTGGTGATCGCAATGAGGCCAGATGGATTTGTGTGATGGCCATACTTATTAGGCTGAACATCTAAGAAAAAACCATGATGTGATGGCTTAGACAGTTTTTAAGGCCGAACACCTAGACAACCATGATAACTAAGTACCAAGTGTTAACACTATCTTTAAGAAGTCACTTATCATTAGTCATACAAAATCTTTACGGGTTGGCGGGCAGACCCTTCAAGTGGAATCAAACTTTCTAAAACTATCATGCTAGATTAGGATGCATATGACCACAAAGCTATCTTTAAGTCTTTGAGCATTTTGTAGGCTAGATTTCCTCTGTATAGTGTCATATGAAAGAACCATTCCGTTGACTAAGCCACATAAAAATTCTACAAGTATCTTAACAAATTCGGCAAGTTTCAAAGACAGATTGCACCCCTTCACCAAATCATCCATCAAATTACTTTGTCATACTGCTTCAGCAAAAGAAATGTGAAAAATCAACAAAGTAACAGACAAAGAAAAAAAATAACATTATACAGAAAATATAATCAGCACACGAAACAGAAACAAAAGCATTATTTAATCAACTCTCTAGAAGTAAGAATTAGAATTGCAGACAAGATAACCAAGTTAGGAATGTATTATGGTATTTTTATACAGTGGGATGTCTAACACATAAATCCATCAGTAAAAGATTTATATAATTGGAAATCACCATGTCACTGTCTTTTTCACACACAAGCAAGTAATGATAAGAGAGAGATGGTTTATATATTATGCAAACATACCAGTGACTAATATTTGGTTGTAAGGATAGCTTTTCAATCATTGCCTGCTGTTTCAATCTCTCTTCCAAAATAAAACCCTGGTCAACAAAAACAGGATTGTCTCTGAGAAAGTTGAAAGCACTAAGAAAATGCAAGAATGAAGACCATCATTGCCAATCATATGACTGGGTTTAAAGACATAACCTGTTTCAACTAAGAAAATCTTACAAAACACAAGATGCTAAAAAGAAAAGTTGTTGTTTCTATCAGGTCCAGAGATCATACAGATGTTATCTTTCAGTACCTCAAGAAACCTATATAAGATGCAAAAGAACTAAAACGTAGTGATATCTCGTGATTTTATATTTAGTGTATCTTATCATAATTACAGCTCTTTTTGCCTCTTCTTTAGTTGTAATATAACTTTCAAAAATTTCTCATTTTTATGATTTTGTAAATCTTTAAAGCACAGTATAGAAATAGGGATCCCTATGGTGATGTATGGTCAAGCTAAAACGACTAGCTTGGTGTATGGTCAAGTGTTGTAGTTAGAAGATGAATCAAACGAGGAATGGCATCATGGCGACAGGCCCCCATAATTTTATTTGTGACTAATGTCGTCTTTCTTAACTATTAAAGTATCTATAGAGTAATTTGTTAGTGTGTTTTCCTTATTAGCTTTATAGATGTCTTTTCATTATCCCTTTATTCTTTATCATTTAAGCATCCACCATCCTATATAGATATATATAATACAAGACCAACCAAATATAGGACTTTCAGTACACCAGGGATGAGACCAAGCTTTTATGAAAAGTAGTTGCCCACAATGTTTATAGAGCCACATTTTTTTATCAAATTAATAATTATTAGAACATGCATACAATGCAGAACTAGGTCACATTCTAGTTGAACTACTTGATAGGCAGCCAAAATCCAGTGGGTCAAATTTTTAATAAAGGTTGCCTAAAGTTCTATTGGCTATGTTAGGCTTAAGTACAAATTTGGTTGGCTTACTTGAGTAGCAAAAGCAAAAACCCAGTATTTCCAATATAATATGAGATCAAAAGAACTAGGCAAAGAATAATTGATGAGCATTAACTTGTTAACATGAATCAGAACATCCATATGAAATACTCCTGTCCATTGCATACAAGAACAGATACAGGTTGGCACGCATGTGTACATAACTATTGTTCGCTTAGACATGTGTCCATATAACTATCATACACAGAAAGTTGGACAGTTATCTTTATGATTAAGCAACAGACTAAGAAGGAGATCAACACTGTAAAAGAATATTCTTACTTCGATGTCGAAAAGGAATGGTTTCTTCCCAAAGTTTACAGTAACTCTACAACATAAGGGTGAACATGTCAGTAAATAAAATAAAATAAATCTGTTTAAATAGCTACAATATGCATCCTACACTACGATGCCTATAAGTTTCACAAAATGACCTGAAAATCGTCAAAATAATACCAGATGCATAGATGCCCTAAGTACAAAAAGAAAAACATAGTTCAAAACATTAAATTGTAAGTTCTTTTAAATTAAGGACTAATTAAAATAATTATCACATCTACCATTTTTGAAGAACCTTCACTTTGATTTTTGTTTCAAAAGATGATATTTTATACTAGCAGGATCTTGATTGCAATAAGTTTCCTTCCATGTAGAAAGTCTTCAACAAGATACCTTAATAATCGAGTTCACCTTAAAGACTTAAACATATGTTTTTTTCCCTCTTCTTATTGGATAATCTTGGTGAGTGATGTAAAAATGCAGAACATGTTGATATATGACAACTTACTATATTCAGAAAAAAAATTGCATAAAATTTATTGTATTTAAAAACCCCTAAGTTAACAAATTTGTTTCAAAGACAAAATAAACTAAAAATAGCTGCTAGATCAATCTGCAATATCTAGTCCCCCCTTTTTTTTTTCACTTCCCACCTACAAGTCTAAAACCTTAGCAGATTCATTTATAATCTTCACAATTAGTAAAAAGTGAGGAAAAAAAAACATTAGGACCCATGAAACTTTTACTCATTTCTAATTCTTCCTCAAAAACCTCAAGCAAGAATGATAAATCTGTGCCCTATTTGGACTTGGACCTCTCATCACTGATGAGATCTAGCATGTTACCATTGCAACAAATCTTCAAGAAAGCTCTATGGGAAAAACAATTACAGCATAATGGTGCAGTTGGATTATAATTAGCCTACACATTGCATGAATGTACCAGGAGTAAATTAGGTGCACCACTAGGAAGACTTAGATTACATAGACAACTTAAAAGCAAAGAAACATTATCAATTTCATATTACAAATTACTACAGCATACTCTTCATTCTGGCTGTGAACAGCTATGCTAGGATAAAGAGGGCCTTTTATATCCTTCGGAACAGTTCCGACAAGTTTTGCATTCTTTCTGCACATAAAGATTAAAGATTACAGTTATTACATACAATACATAGTCAGACAATTAGTTATCGAAAAGATAGATGGAATATCATCTAAGTCAACCCTAGACAAGTGTAGAGATGCAAATCAAGATAATAGATACCAGTTCACGAAAAATCAAGATAATAATAAGCAAGGTTCACCGTACCATAATGTATCGCTCGATACAGATGATATGTACCTAGGGGATCGGTATGGGCGGTACATATCAATCTATCAGTAGATCCCACCATACCATGTGTCGGTATGTCGGTACATGTCATATCGACAACGGGTCAGTACACTGATACGAATCGATAAGGTGAACCATGATAATAAATCAACTATCTCTATAAATATTCACAAAATCCGAGAACTGCTTACTAGATTAAGGATCCCTGAACTCCACAACACAAGCATGTAAATTAGGACAACATATATGATCTCAAAGAGCTCCAAAATTTTGGAAATATCAACCATCCTAGTAGCTAATGGTACAATTTCTTTATGCTAAACAATCTATTGACTTACGTGAAAAAGAACTCCTGTGATGCATAATTGATACCAGCACCAACAGTATCATTAGTTGTAAATGTTGGTCCAAAAGATTCTCCTTTTCCTTGTCCACGATAAAGATATCCATCATCTCCATGGTATCCACAACTATTAGCTTCCCAGCTACACAGAAAGTAGTAGTTCATGAAAAATTGAAATAGCAACAGAACAGAAAAATATTTTTTTCTTGCAAATCTAAAACATGATTTTCATTAAAATTAAATGTATGCAAGTAAAAAATCCTTTGTTGCAGAAGGAATTAAGAACTAGAAATCGACACGCAAAAATGTCATTCCTTGTTTTTGGGTAATAAAGTATTCAACCGAAAAAAGCAAACTGCAAAACGAGAGACAGATGCTCCAGCCAAAATTGACAAATGCTTTCTACACTTGCTTTGTCAAACACTTAGTCAATACCCACATCTTCGATATGGTCAAATACCTTCTTAGCACCTTCCCAGCAATTTGTGGCTAAAATTATTCTGCATTTGACCTTTTTTTTGTTTTAACTGTGGCAAATTTTGGCATTTTACAGACCAGGGTCTGGGAAAACCTATTCCATAATTATTAAAGTAAAGAGGAATGAACACCCACTAAAGGTTAAGCCAAAAAATGCAAGTCCAAAGACAATATAATTGCACTATCTGCAAATAAGCAATCATGTGCCTCTACAAATAGTTTTGGCAAAGGAGACCATCCACTTCCTATAACATCTAGGTACCTCACTAAATTCGTTCATACTCAAAGGTTGGCCCAATTACAGTACGTATATTCTTAACTTTATTATGATTTCCACCTTAACGGCACCATTTTTCAATTGTGAAGTAATAATTAACAATCATCATGTCCCTTCAAAATATTACAAAGATTCCATGTATGTGAACTAAGCAAAATAAAAATCATTACCAAAATCTACTAATTGCAGTTGACCTATGATAACCACATATGTTTAATGTAAACAAAAAATAATTGAATCCAATTATTCATCCAGGAAATTCTATGATAAACAATATTTAAACCTATTTTTTTCATTCAAAGCGAGGGTTGTAGCTGGACACTTTCCATCTTCCTCGAGATGGGAACTATCTCCTCACCAAACAAGGCATATACATCATATATCTATGATTTTGAACATCATTAACACCCACACATATCTTTTTTTGTCATCGACCTTAATGTTGTACTACTCCGACATATGAGATAGGTATCCTCTGAGAACTATGGCTGACATTTTATCCTTACCTTCCCTTCCAACATCGTGGAGGGGACTTGAAATGACAGGACCCCCGGAAAAGGATTGAATTTCACATAGTATGTCATCATTGTTATATTGAGAACACAAGATAATTCGGCCCTAAGCTGCAGGAACTGAGAAACTTTTACAGAAAACCAGGGAACAGGAAGGATACTTCAAACTTCAAATGCAGAACTAGATGTGAAACTATTCAAGATCAGATCAAAAGCAAACAATTTAAGTAACAAATGTGCAAATACGGATACCCAGGTTGCCGCCGCATCTTGAAATGCTGCATAGTGAACCCAATAGCGACCTGCCCCTTCTGCCCGGCATTCTTCACCGTCATCTCGAAATAGTAAGCCAGCCTCCTGGTGGGCGCCGGACAGTCCGCCTGCACGACACCGACATCGTGCCCATGCTGCGGGGAACCCACATACTGGACGGACATCTTGTCCGTCGACACGATCTGGAACAAGCCGGAGCTGTTGATCGTGTTCAAATGCGACGGCACCGGCTCTGAATCCATCTCCTCGACGATCTTCTTCCATTCGGCGCCCGACCTCCAGCGCGAGGCCAGTCGGAAGAGATCGATGGATTCTCCCGCCGGCTCTTGATTGATCATCATCAAGCCCTCGTCCAAGAATCCAAGACTCAACTGTTCAACCCAACCTTCTCAATAAATGTAGTGCTACAAACGACAGAGATGCGCGCAAATCGAAAACCCCAGGAGAAATCAGCAATCGAATGCTTACCTGAAGGCCCAAATCGATGGTCGGGCTCCTCTCTGTCGGAATGATAATCGAAACCCTAATCTCGAGAGAAAAAGGGGGAAAGGGGCGGCGGATGGGATGAAAGCTGAGGCCTTCGCCGCTGCTAAACCGCGGTAGCGACTTTAGTGAGACGTAAATGACCTTTTTGTCTCCAAGTGAAGAGGTTAACATTTGAGCTTAAAATACGGGAAATTTGAGATTCGTGGGGGTCAAAAATGTCATATCGGAGCCTCTCGCACTGCCGTAACGTAGCGAACTAGATCGCATACAATGCCAACTCTAAGTGCCATGAGATCCTCCTCTCATCACCATAATGGACGGCTCGGGTACGATGATAATTCTATAAGCTATGGAGATTCTTTTGACGTCACCTTTTGTATATTATAAAATTTTAAATTAAATTATATATACAACAAATTATCAGAAAACATTAGCTTTTCCGGATTGATGCCTCCCATTTTTTGTTTTTGCTGGTGGCATACTTCTGCAGTTAATTATTTATTATCTAATTATCTATTATAGTTAATTTTTTAATATTTTGATTCTTAGATTAAAAAATTTTATGTTGAAATTTATATAGTTAAACATACAAGTGAAATATTTAATCTCATTTATCCGTCGATTTTATCGATGAAAATATATAACACATAACAATAGACACTTGAATGGAATGAAAATTATGAATAAAAATATAATTTTAATAATTATGATAGGTTAATTATATATTGTCATTGTAATTAGATCTTTTTAGTATATTTCGATTTTTAGACTTAAAAAATTTATATTAAAATCTCATTTATTCTAATACCATTTAACCTTATAATTAGATCGTAATTAGATCTTGTTAGTATATATTATCATTTAAAAGTAAAACATTTAACCTCATTTATCCTAATACCATCGGTCTTACTAACGGAATAAATAGCACATGCCATGAATGGTGTCACACCTCTCTGTCTCACTTGTCTCCTCTTCCTCGTCTAACATAGATGCCTTACCTGTCACTTCTTCCTCATTTGACGCTAATGCAAATTTAGAGTAGTGCCGAAGGAGAAAGAAAAGGTAGAGTGGTGCGACACCAATGCAAATACCTCACCTCCCTCATTTTCCTTTTTTGACACTGATGTATATACCTCATCGCTTTGCCTCATCTTCCTCCTTATCGCCGATATTTAGATCGATATCGCTAAAGCAGACCACCATATTGTTAGTGTCAACCACCATCACAATAACCCACCCACGGTGTCATTGTCTACCACTACCGTAAATTACTTTTTTGCTTATCGTTTTCATGTCATTCATGCATGTGTTGTCACGTGCGATATCTTTCGTCAATAAAATCAACGACGTTCGAGTAAATAAAATTAAATATTTTAATTTCATAACTATAAGGATTTTAATATATATTTTTTTAATCAAGGGACCAAAATACTAAAATGGTCTAACTTCAACGAATAATATATAATTAGCCTATCATCATAATTAAAAATACTCTTTTATCCATCGTTTTCATATATTTCGTACACATCTTGTCACCTGCTATATCTTCCGTCCGTAAAACTATAGAGATTTTAAATACTTCATTTTCATAACTATAGAGATTTTAATATAATTATTTTAAAGTATAAAGATCGAGATACGAAGAAGATCTAACAACAAAGGTATGTAATTAGTCGCATACTTCTTTTAATCCCAAAATGTATCATACAGGATATGTCAAAAAATATTTCTGATCCCAAAATCAATCTATAGATCCAATCAAAATGTTTCTTAATAGGATTATAATATTTTTGATATCTTAATAAAAGTACTATAAATCTATATAAAAAATACTATAATTAAAAAAAACTCAAAATACTACACAAATTAATTTATCATTCTTTGCGAGGTTTCAAATAAAACATTAAAAAAAATGACCTATATGTCGCCTATGTGTCTTTAAATAGAGTTACAATGTCTTTGTTACTTATCTAAAAACACTCTAGTCGGTGAATAATAACTCAAAATATAATATAAACTAATTTATTATCCTTAGTGATTTTTAAATATGTATTCTTTTTCATTTAGGAATAAAAAAATAAAAAAATTAACATCTATGCCAGAATTTGTAATTTTTACATTTTCATAAGAACACTATAAAATCAATTGGATTGGTTCAATATAAAGAACGGATGACTTATAAAGAATGGGTGAGTGTTTTTGGATATTATATCAAATGAATTTTTGGGCATCCTATCAAAGGCATTTTTGAGGCTAAGGTAAAAGAAAAAAGAAGAAAAAAGAAACCATTGGATAAAAGCAAAATGTGAGTCATGAAAACACCCAAAATGAGAGACTTTGTCCTAAAATTCACCTTATAGGACTGAAAAATTGATCTGATATTTATTTTGAATTATTTTTCATGAAAATTTAAATAAGATCACATTTTTCATGATTTTTTCGGAGGAAGTTGTTCACCGTAGTAATTCATCTCATGGGAATCATAATTTTTTTTCACAAAGGGTACATGATGAAAATGAAATTTAAGCCCATGACCTCATAATAAACTATTAAATCTTTACTAACTAAGATAACTAGCACCTTCATAATCACAAGTATTACTATCTATTTATCCCAAATGACATATATCTCCCAGATTGATTCAATCAAGATTATTTCCTACAGCTTGTAGTACAGCCCCCTCAGACATATTTTCTCCACTTGGAAATCATTTTCAAGCCAAAAGATGCATTCTACCTTGATATATCAAAGAGATTCCTCATGGTCACCACTAAAATCATCAAACAGCATTACTGTTCTCGTTTAACAAAGCTGTTTTCATAACATCCAAAATTACAATCTTCCTCAAAGCATACATGTGCTTCACAGTCATCCAGGAGTAAAAACTTTTTTAACATTGACACAAGACGTAGTAGTTCTTCCAAGCAATTGACCAATGGTTTCAGTGTTCAGATGCAATCTCTCAATCAGTTATTGTCCTCCTGTATAAAAAGACCAAAGTGAGAAAGAGAGAGAGAGAGAGAGAGAAGATCCATTAGTATAAGACACATTAGTATAAGACACGGTGAAAAGGCCTCCAATAGCTAACATGACAATCGTTGAGGCCGAAATATTAGTTACGCTGGATATGAGCGAAAGAAAAGGTAAAATCATGCAAGGTTTAAGTAGGCTGGATTCGTCATTGTGTTGACGAATGGGGGAATCATAGCATCCCAGATACTGAAAAATATTTTAAGCTTATTTTTTAAATTCATTGTATGGTACCTTCCTTCTGATCTCATTTCAGCAGTAAACTGGAAAAGTCATCTAAATTTAGCATCCTAAAACTAAATACTAAAATTCTATTTATGACCGGAATTCTCTTTCCAAAACTTGTTTTTTTTTTTTCCACTTAGGTGTATCCCACAATCACAATCACTTTATGAAATGATTGCCATCCTAGCTTTTTTATTTGTTTTATAATGCATATTCTTTGGTTTATGATTTGAAAATTTAGATTTTTTTTTCCTGATGAAACTTTGTCACTTACTTTTGCATTGTTTGTCAAATTATTTTCTTACACCAAGCACTATACATTGCCACATGTTGTCTGAATTTCAATGATGTGGATCAAGCATTATTATCATGTTGAATTAACCATACAGTGATGTATTTTCTCTTGTTTTCATTTTATTTTATCAATTTTGTTTCTCCTTTGATCATCACATGTTCTTACAATATCCATTCATGCTCTTTAGCAATTATCTTATATTTTTCGGGGAGCTTAAGCTTCCAATCACTTTACTCCAATTTGTTGGATATTCCCCTGATGGGAGTTTAATAAAAAATTTCCTTTCAAAAATAAAATATTACATGCATTATTATTTCATATTAAAACGTAACATTTGGGCTTGACTTCATTCCTAAAACTGCATCTTTACTAGAATCCAGTACAATGCAAATTCCAGCAACAAAATACCAAATATGTAAACATGGATTAAGTGCAGAAACAAATGAATAGCTGAGAACTTACTCAAGGAGAACCAGAAGAGATGGATGAGACTTCTGAAGATGAGACTTTCTGAGGAAAGCCATCAAATATGTATGAGCAATCTGTATATGCTGATCCAATACCCACTCCAGCAGCAAATGCTACAGATGCCCATCGAGTAACTGGACTCCCTGTGTGAATGAAACATGAAAAGTAAAGATGGGCCCGATGAATCAGGTGAGAAGCAAGTAGTTGACAACAATTATTCTTTCCCTAGTCATGAAGCGGATTATGAGTTCTATGTACTTATGTTCAGTAAGTTACTCTAATGTTAAATTACTCAAGTAGTGATTTGTTATAATAAGGTGGTAGTAACGTTTTGACATACAAAAACTATAGATAATCATAAACAACTAAGTTCATGTATTTGTCATCTGAAATTTAAATAGATTTCAATTCCTTGTACAACCATGGACCATGCTGAAATAGGCACTTTCTCCTTCCTCACCCTTTAGCAGGAACCTGTTCAGATATGTGCATGCTGCTATAATTCGTCACCATCGTCCATAACTATGCAAGACCAGTCATGCAAAGATCAACAGATGAAACATTTCTGTTAATAGTGAAACTTTAATTTATATATGTTAGCAAGATGGAACAGTTGAATATAGGTCACATAATCAGAAAGAGGATTTTTGGAGACGAGGTTTATCTATGGCATCAATACTGCCGCCAAGTATGAAAAACAAGCGATACTTTACAGATGAGAATGCTTAATAGTTAGGAAACAGCAAACCCAAAATTACTGCAGCTGAAAATAGGAATGCACACAAATTTCTGATGTTACAACGAAAAGTAGGATCAGGGATTGTTGAACCCATAGCAAGTAAATTGAAGGTAATGGCATATAAGGCAAGACAAACTCAAATCGTCTCGGACATGTATCAGACAACATACGAGTATAGGGAAGGAAAGCTATAAATTTTAGTAACAATATAGATCAGGCAGGAACGATGAGGCTGAAGACCAAAAACTCAAGAGAATCCAAGAATGAAAAGAGAAACACAACAATTTGATACTGGAAGAAACGAAGGCGATTTGGGGTATTTCTCAGAGACGATCACCCAGACGAGTACATCCAGCCCACAAAACAATCGATCTTGGTGAAAGTTGACGCACTGGGCTCCAAACGGAAGGAAGGAAAACAGATATCGATCGGGGTGGTGAGAACTCACTGAAGAAGAGAAGGGCGGTGAAGGCTCCGGCGAGAGAGGAGTAAGTGAGCCGGCGCATGGTGATATCGAGGCAGGCGTCCCATTTGGCGTTGAGATCATACCGCGGCGGAATCCCCTGGGCCTTCTGCTGTTGTTCCTCCGCCATTAGAGCAGGCGAAAGCAAGCGCGAGAGGGATAGACGCGTGTTTTGAGCGTTATTTGGGGCATCGCCCGTTTTAGGATGCTTAATAGAAACTGTGCCATCTGTGAGCGCAGAAAACAATATAATATACATATCAATGAAAATAATAAAGCGTATTTTCGATATTTACAGTTTTTAATATATTTAAAAATATGAATATACTGAGCCAATGGAAGTTATATATATATATATATATATATATATATATATATATATATATATATATATATATATATATATATATATATATCACCTCGTCGTCGACCAT